GAGTAAGGAGAATGAAGGTTCTTGCTGCAGGTCACAAGCAGTGCCGGTGAGGAGGCTTGGTGGGACTCTAGCACGCACTGTCCCCATGCCCAGACAAGATTTTTGGCTGATGCCAGGCTACTGGATCAAACAACGTCGCAGAGGCGTTCCTGTGCCGGCTCGTGAAGCCATGTTGGGTTTGTGCGAGTCCTTGTCGTCCAACTGTCTGACTTCGCGTCGGGCCGTGAAGGTTCGTGGAAGCTGTTGCCGTTTGTTTGCAAAGAAGTCTTTAACTCCAAACCCGCAAATGACTTAGTCTTGGGATGTTGTGGTGAACATGGCATTGCTAACTTCGCCCAATAATTCCCCTCTTTGCATGCCTCTCTCCGCCTCCATTCCCCCCCACCGGAAACGCCATGTGCTTGCTGCTGGCAGGTTGCGACGCAAGGGACGGCTAACCGTCACACTGCATGTCCGCACAGCAGCGCCGTAGCGCCAAGCACACTTGCACACTCTCTGGGGCACGCACAGCCTTGACGGGAAAATTGTGCCAGAAGGACTGAGCAAGATGCACGAACAGGATTCAAGATTTCATTTCCGCTGGAATCGGCAGCTCAAACGCCAGCCCGGTCAGCCTGGTGGCCCGCCGGTGGTGTCGCCGCCACCACGGCTCGTGGCACGACGTAGATCCTCGCTCAACCCTCTCTCTCACACACACCAAAACAAGCAGAAGCTGCAAGACCTCTCCCAAAGAAGGCAGACGGCAGTATTTTCTATGTAGGATGGCGCCCCAACACTCCCAGGGGTGTGGGGGGGCGGCATATCCAATTACAGGTTGGTTCCTGACCTTTTCCCACCCGCTGTGAGAGTTCACAGGCTACCACCCAAAATATTGCCTAATTCCCACCTGCCCCTGGTCTGTCTGTTGGGGCCAGGAAGGCCGCACCAGGGCAGGAGGCTACACACGCCGCAAAACAGGGTGGCCAAGAGGGCCAAAGCCAGGAGGGAGGGTGGGGGGCACTCGACCACTTGAGATTCGAAGGAATTCCCTCTGCGAACATGCGCGTCGCGCAAAGGGGCCAAATGGCTTGGCTCAGCCCTAGGGCTGAATTCGACCACTTTCCAATGGCTCCACCCCTTGTCCATCCAGAGTTGGTGTCAGTCACTGCCGCATTTCCTTCTGGGTCCAGGCACCCTAAGAAAAGGGTGGGTACGGCCTAAGCAGGCCTGGGTGGGAATTTAGGGTTTGGGGTTTAGGGTTTAGGGTTTGGGGTTTAGGGTTTGGGGTTTAGTGTTTAGGGTTTGGGGTTAAGGGGTTTAGGGTTTGGGGTTTAATGTTTAGGGTTTAGGGTTTAGGTTCGATCCGGAGGTCGCGGTGACTTGCCGGCAGGGGGCTAGGGTTTGCAGGGTTTAGGGTTTGGGGGCTTCTTGGGGTTTATTGTAGAGGAGGCGAAGAGGACATGAGCAAGACTTCGATACAGTTGCACCAAGATGATGGCTAATTTTGGTGGTGGTGTGCGGTAGACACACCAGGTGCCGAAGTGTCGCAACGGTGGCACCAATCAAACTGTCGCCAGAAGTGGCAACGGCGGTAGCAACAAAGGCACCGTGCTGTCATTCAGCAACACATATCTACTACGCCCTACGCCTCGTCAACACAGATCTCGCTCTCCGTGCCTGCAGGAGCTGTCAACCGCTCAACCCGGCCCTGGCATAAGCTTGACGCGCCAAGCTATAATCTAAACACTCAGCCTCGCAGGAGGTGGCCATCGAAGAAGAGGACTTGTATGGGACACTCCCGTTTGGATATTTCGGTGCGGTCGGTGCGGAGATTGCGGAGACCCTAGCGGTCACGCCGCTCTTCCTGGCTGCGAAGAACGGCCACATAGAGTCTCGGCTGAAGTTCTGTGACGGTTTAAGGTTTAGGGCAGAGAGAGAGAGTGAACACAAATTCATGACAGCAGCAACTAGAACAGAAGTCACACGAGTAACAGCTCAACATGATGATTGTCACTTATAATGGCGATTGCTGATCAGTCTCGACCACAATCACAATCTTGATTCATTCGATCGTTCTGTTCGATTAGTGCTTAGCAGGGCATGGGGCTCTACTACAGCCCTGCGGATTTAGCACTTTTAGTCGGCTGTTGGGCTTCAGCCGGGTTGTGGCTCAAGTCGGGTACAACCGCTGCCAATGCTTCAGAGGTTGGGAAAAATGTGGTTGGCTATCAAACCCCTACACCCATCCCTACACTTTAAAGCTTAAACGCTGAACCCAATGCCCCTACACCCCCAAGCCTCCAGACGTATAAGGAAGAAGCCTTCGGATACCAAGGCGGTGGTGCACCTTCTACTTGAGGCCAGGGCTCACCCAGACAAAGGCTGCCGTCAATGCACACCCCTGGTGAAGGCGGGCAGCAGCGTCGGGTTCAGGATTTACGGGTTTGCGGTCGAGGCGCTGTATGCCCGACTAAGCACAACCTTAGAGGGGTGGTGAATGGTAATGGTGAATGAAAGCTCGGCTACCGTCGGAACTGAGAGGGCAAGGATTCGAAATTCGGCGCTACACTTCGGAAGCCCCCAGCCTAACATCCTCAGCACTGTTGAGGCCTGCGCACAGGGCCATGCCGAAGTTGTTCAGACACTGCTCCAGAGTGGTGCTGACAAGGACTCCGGTTACTGCAAGCACTGCCGTCCCTGCTGCCAGTCGCCGTCTGTCTGGTGCTTGTGCGGTTCATTGCCGAGGCTAGCACGAGGGAGGACACCGACCACAAAACGATGATAATGAAACTGAGGGATGACAATGAGGGCAAGGATCATAAATCATGATGGTCAGAATGATACACGGCTGGATCAATAGCGGTCATTCTGATGAGGATGATGATGCTAGTGCTAATGTTGATGGTAGTGCCGATGAGGATGATGATGGTGATGATAGTGATGATTGTGATGATGGTGATGATGGTGATGTTGATGATGATGATGATGATGACGATGATGGTGATGATGATGCTGATGATGTTGATGCTGATAATGATGATGTTGTGATGCTGTGGATGCTGTTGATGTTGTTGTTGTCCATGGTGCGGTTGCTGTTAATGGTGCTGTTGGCGTTGGTGGTGCTGCTGCTGCTGCTGCTGCTGCTGCTGCTGCTGTGGTTGTTCTTGTTACTGTTATTAATTGTTATTGCTCGTGTTCTTGTTCGCATTCTATGTCTTTTGTGGTAGTGTTTGTTGTTGTTGTTGTTGTTGTTGTTGTTGTTGTTGTTGTTGTTGTTGTTGTTGTTGTTGTTGTTGTTGTTGTTGTTGTTGTTGTTGTTGTTGTTGTTGTTGTTTTTTTTGTTGTTTTTGTTGTTGTTGTTGTTGTTGTTGTTGTGTTTTTGTTGTTGTTGTTGTTGTTGTTGTTGTTGTTGTTGTTGTTGTTGTTGTTGTTGTTGTTGTTGTTGTTGTTGTTGTTGTTGTTGTTGTTGTTGTTGTTGTTGTTGTTGTTTGTTGTTGTTGTTGTTGTTGTTGTTGTTGTTGTTGTTGTTGTTGTTGTTGTTGTTGTTGTTGTTGTTGTTGTTGTTGTTGTTGTCGTTGTCGTTGTCGTTGTCGTTGTCGTTGTCGTTGTCGTTGTCGTTGTCGTTGTCGTTGTCGTTGTTGTTGATGATGATGATGATGATGATGATGCAAGTAGCAAGGAGGCACCGTCAGAGGGACCCGTACCGTAAGCCTAAAGCCATTAATCTGACTCTGGCATGTCGCAGGACAGATGTGGGGAATCTGGCTACGGCAACCTTACGCCTCTCGCTGTCTCCTGCGAGCAAAGCAAGGCCTGCCACCGTCCCAAGCTTTTTTGGTGGGTCTGGGTTTTATGCGACGTTTTTGGGGTCCCCGCTTTGAAAGTGGCTTGCAACAGACGGCCGTTCAGGAAGAGCTGGTTCGAATACTCCTTGCTGCTCGTGCTGAACCGGACAAGTACGGCGACGTCGACGTCACACCACTGGCCCGAGCTAGTCGGCATGGATCGGTAGCAATTGCAGGCATGTTGCTGGCCGCCGGCGCTGAGAAGGACAAGGACAGCAAACAGACGTTCAAACTGCGTTACCAGGAGGAGAGGACGACTGGTTGGACCCCCCTCGTCGAGGCCGCTCAGCATGGGCATCTTGGGGTGGTGCGACTGCTTCTGGAAGCGAAGGCAGACAAGGACAAGCTGAGTCACGGCCGGACAGCACTGGTGAAAGCTTGCGAGTTCGGGCACGTCGGGGTCGCAAGCTTCCTGTTACAGGAGGGTGCTGATGCAAACCGGGCCAGCAACCACTGCACCGCCCTGGCCTTCGCGACTCAGCTGGGCCGACTGGACTTGGCGCGCCTTCTCCTGGAGGCAGGCGCCTCCACGGGCGAGGACGGGGAAAATTTGCCTCCGCTTTCCTGGGCCTGTCGCTTCGGCCAGCTGGAAATGGCCTGCTTGCTGCTGGAAGCTCGGGCCGACGTGGAGCAGGGATGCTTTAAGCCATTGCTGGAAGCATCCCAGAAAGGATATCCAGAAATCACGCGTGTTTTGCTGCATTCTGGTGCTGACCCAAACAAGGGCTGCTTCATTCCCTTGGTGGAAGCTTCCCACGAAGGCCACACGGAAATCGTGCGCCAGCTCTTGGTAGCCAGGGCGGACTCCGAAAAACGGGGCCACTCTGACTTGACTGCTCTGGAGAAGGCGACTCTCCGAGGTCACCAGGAGATTGTCGACTTGCTCTCGAAAGCTGCGTCAAAGACCCGCAATCCTCTAATACTGGTACTTGAGGAAGCAAGGGAACCGCGGCAGTCCCCACAGCTCCCTGAGTCAAGGAGAACCTGCTAAATCAAGCTTGTAGCAGTCCTGCAGTAAGTAGCAGTTGCCCGGGTTGTGCCATTGCGCAAGCTCCCTGAGGCCTACTATGGTAAACGGGCTTAAAAACAATTACCAATACGATTCTGGTTAAAGTATACGACACCCCAAAGAACAACAGCTCTGAGATCCCCCACTCAGAGGGAACCCGGGCTAAGGCTGGGTTTGGCGCACGAAGCCTACTTCCAACATTTCGGCGCCACCTGGTTCGCGCTTGGAATGGATCGGGTTTTCGTTGGGATCTTTTGGGGTGTGGGTTTCGAAGTCTTTAAGATCCCAGGGTTTGGGGTATCCACGCCACTGAGACGAAGAAGCAGCGAAGAAGTTGAACGAAACGACCAGGTGCTAGCGAGAAGAAGGTACCACGATCAGAAACATGTGAGAGACGCGAGAGGAGCAAGGAGCAGCATAAGCCCGAGCGCAGTTGTGGTTGTGGTTGTCGGCAGACAGCAACTACTACAGCCCCGAGGAGTTCAAAGTTGCAGTATCATACCTGAAGAAAGGGCCGCGAGGGAAGAACATCACCTAAACTCTACACGGAGTTTTTTTTTGTTTTTTCGTGCTTGTTTTTTTCCGTAGCTCATGGTTTGGGGGCTTAACTAGGGTCCGACGCCCTGGACCGTGCATGCAACAGAAATCGAGCCTGGAACTTTTTTCGCCAACATCGAGCCTCCGACAGGTCGATTCTGCTTGCCTCCGCCTGGAGAAGCGCGTGCGGCTACTTCCCGAGGAGGCAGTCCAGTCATACTGACGTTTACCCATGGCACCAGTGACATAGAGGCCTGAATCTATCTTTTTTTAGGGTTCCCCAGTGTCTCTTTCGTTCAAAGGCAGCGAAACTCTAAGCCTCCACATATCGCCATCAAGCTCTGCTCCGATCGTAACTCGCAAAGTCCAGAGTCGATTTTGCTCATCATGTTCGGGGTTTATAGGAATTATTAGGAGGTTTCAGAGCCAGAACGTTGGCAAGGCTTTGCCTCACTCGGACCTGGGGTTCTGGTGCTTAGGGCTATTAGGAGGTGCAGTGAGGGTAGCATCTCAAGTCCTTACGGAACGTTGCTGCAAGAATCGCTGAACACACCAAAGCCAGATGATGCCCTTCGCCCTGAATGCCAACCCCCTTCAATCCAAGCCCCGAAGCGTCCGTAGAAATACTTGTCAGTCGCCTTTGCGTCTGCTCGGAAGGAGTTGGAGAAACTCTGTGGCGATGTCCGGCTGCAGCAAGAATGCGTCTGAATGTAAGGTTGGATTGAAAAAACAGGCTCATTTCACAGCCTTTGATTACAGAGTCAGAGTACTGCACGATTACGACCGAGCGCTTTGATAATGGTTTCGTATTGAATCGATCCGGACAAGTCTGACTACAGTGGGAGCTGTACATGCTGCCAGAAATTGGTCAGGTCGACAGGCTACTTGTATAGATGAGGTGTGATAAGTGTTAGTGTGTTCGGATATGGAGATTGTTCCGGAGATGACCTGCCTGAGGAGCAGTGCCTTGCGCACGCCGGGGAACACTGGGCAAGCTAGTACAGGGGTATATGACTTGGTGGTGTTAGTGTTGTATGCAGGTGTTCCCCTCCCTCAACCAGTATGGTAGTCTGGAGGCTCTTCGGCTAAAAGACACGAGGGTTCAAACAAAAAGGAAACCCCGGCCGTGAACCCCACGCCTTAAACCCAACTCAAAGAAGTCCAGGATTGCTTCACCCTGGGCACCTCGCACCTCTCCAGGCGTCTGGGAAGTTACTTGAAGTCACACATGACCGGTGAAGACATTCCGGCACTGTCACAAGGCACGCCAAGAGCAACTCTATTAGGAGCTTGTGTTCGCATCGATGCAGCGCGGCATGTGAATGCATGCGGTATATGAACCCTTGGTCAGGGTGAAGGACTTCAAGGCCCGCGCCATGCGGGGCGTGGCCGAGGCAGAAACGCAGGCAGGGCTCTGAGGACGATAGCCCAGCACGTCGTGTGAGCTCCGGAGTCCGGGGTTTCAGGTAATGCTCACCATGCTGGTGTGGGATGTTAGCGTGTGGGCTCCAGGTTGGGCTTCATCGGCTACAGGTTGTTCGCGTTACAGCCACATGCTCCGTGAATTTGGGTTTCTGTCAGCTTACGGGTCACGGGTCGGAACAGCTGGAGCTTCAGAACCAACAGCTGTAAAGTGAGCACTCAAGTCTCTAGTAAATACCAACCCCTAAACTCCAAACCCGAAACCCTGTAAGCTATGAGCCCAAAGCTACATCGTTCTTCGCATCCCAAAGCTTGAGCCCCCCTCTGTTAGCCTGGAAAAAACGGCGATTCTAGTAAACTGAGCTCCCTGTTCCGAAGCCTTCGAAGCAGGGAGCCCTCAATCGGGTCTGGGGTGTTAAATCCGCAAGTCCGAACCAAGCCGGGAAGCGTCAGCCCGGAACCGAGACGCTACTTGAACCCAAAATTGATGCCAGGCGACACCCCTCCAGGCCGCAGATGGAGAGGCGTTTCGAGGGGCTGGTCGAGTGGATTTTCGGTTCCAGGTTTCGGGTCGTTGGTGGTGCATGGGTCGGGAATCGTCATGTAGGATTGACGGGCTTCGTGGTTGGGACTTGCAGGGTTGCTTGAGCGAGGGTCTAGGAGGGTGCGTAATTCGGTTTGGGACGGTTGAGGCTTTGTAATGGCACCGGCTTCTGCCCCAAAAATCCTACGCGATCGCAGCTCTAAGCCCCAGACAAGTAATTCACCGAAATTGCCAAAGACGATACCGCAGGCCCGAGTGCCCAAACCAAGCAGGCCGTCGGCGAGTGTTCAAACGAATGGGGTCCAACTCCTCATCCTAGTGCCTGATCCTCGCCTGAGTTAGGACAGCATCAAGCGGGCGCTCTCTGTCCGCAGCCGCGAGAAGAACGAGATGATGCGCGTGCAGGGTCCGGGGCCTTGCGCTTCCAGACGCCTGCAAGACGTCGTCGTCGTCGTCGTCGTCGTCGTCGTCGTCGTCGTCGTCGTAGTAGTCGTAGTAGTAGTAGTAGTAGTAGTAGTAGTAGTAGTAGTAGTAGTAGTAGTAGTAGTAGTAGTAGTAGTAGTAGTAGTAGTAGTAATAGTAGTAGTAGTAGTAGTAGTAGTAGTAGTAGTAGTAGTAGTAGTAGTAGTAGTAGTAGTAGTAGTAGTAGTAGTAGTAAAGTAGTAGTAGTAGTAGTAGTAGTAGTAGTAGTAGTAGTAGTAGTAGTAGTAGTAGTAGTAGTAGTAGTAGGAGTAGGAGTAGCAGTAGCAGTAGCAGTAGCAGTAGCAGTAGCAGTAGCAGTAGCAGTAGCAGTAGCAGTAGCAGTAGCAGTAGCAGTAGCAGTAGCAGTAGCAGTAGCAGTTGCAGTTGCAGTTGCAGTTGCAGTTGCAGTTGCAGTTGCAGTTGCAGTTGCAGTAGCAGTAGCAGTAGCAGTAGCAGTAGCAGTAGCAGTAGTCGTCGTCTTCGTCGTAGTAGCAGGAGTAGCAGTAGTCATAGTAGTAGCAGTAGCAGCAGCGGTAGCAGTAGCAGGAGTAGCAGCAGTAGGTATAGGACTAGGAGTGGGAGTAGAGTAGCAGGACTAGGAGCAGGAGTAGGAGCAGAGTAAGAGTCGGAGACGGAGTAATTTGAGAAGGAGGAAGAGCCCAAACCTGATGGTGACAGTCTCGATTGCAGTGGTGACATGCGCCCTAATGTTTGCCATAAGAACTATTTCGATGATGTTCTTGATGAGGTCGGTGTTTGGATCACATCTCAGTCTCATCTTTGTCGCTTTCGATACATCTTTGCGCAGTCGTGTTTCTCTTGTGGCTGTACTTGGCTTGTTCGTTCTTGTTTGTGTTGTGTTTGTAGGTTTGTGCTGGCCCTGCCATGGACCTCACCTGATCTGCCGGCCGCCTGAATTTGAGGAGAGTAGGAGGCCAGTTGCCTCTCCCGTCTATTGGAAAGAAATGAGTCAAGGCCCGCGGTCTGCATGCCTCGAGCATTCATCAAAGCGCCAAACCCGAACATGTAACACGAACAAACGGAAGACATGCAAGCATCATGGCCCTCATCGTCTTCTGCTCTTGTTGAATGCCGCGGATGCCTCATTGTCGTTTTCTTTTCCAAGGCCTGAACTCCGAGGGCGCGTGGTCGCGCCAGGCAGACATCCCCTCTGACTCCCGGCCAGAGGTTGCGGCGGTGTAGTTGAGTTGCTGTTGTTACTGCGTGAGAAGAGGCCGTTTTGGGTCTAAGGGCGACGTAGGGAATTTCGATTTCGTTGGCGTTCCGAGTGTGGCAAGGTGGTTGCTTCAGCGGCGCAAGCATCGTCCTAGGCGTGTTAGCATCGGTTGGCTTGCCCCGAGTGCTGCCACCAAAAGCATGTGCCATAAAGGCTGAGTCGTCAAATCCCAGGCGCGCTCCGCCACATAACCTCCCAAGAAGTCAACGAATCTGAATCCTGGAATTGTTGCGCACTAGAACCCTAGAGCCCCAAACTTTGCGCATCGAGCCCTAAATCCGAGATTGAGCACTGAACCATCCCCCTAAACCCTACGGCCCTATGGGAAAACCTAACCTGCACCCTCGACAAAGCCCGCGCAGCCTTGAGGCGTAATGCTGTACACGACAGTTGGCGCCAAGTCGCAAAGCCCTTGAACCCCAAACCCTCAAACCTTAGCCTTGGAGAAGAGGGTCGATGCTAGGCAAGACACCTTGGGGCCTTGGGCTTCCTTCTCATGATGACGACAGGAATGCTGGTCAGATGGAAGACGGTGACGTCACTAATTATACAGAATTATATAGATAGAAAAGCAGCAACAACAACAGGCAACATGCAACTGACAACAGACAACGGCAGCAGCAGCAGCCAACTTAACTCACCTTTCTTGCCGAAAACCACCGAGGACCACGAGAGTGACAGGGACGCCCCGACCTCTAGCGACGAGGAAGCCGAGGCCTGCAATAGGGATTTGAACAATTCGTGATACTATTCCCTTGTAGTCCATGTATAAGACTGCTATTCATACTTTTCATGCTGATAACTGTACTACTTTGTAAGTTAGGGGGGCTCGGTGCGAATTCGGGGTTTAGGCTTAAGTCAGGGTCTGGGATACCTGAAGGTTTGCAAATCACGCATTCCATGAGGAAGCCTAAGGCCAGAAGCCTGAAGGGAGAGGGAAGGAGAGCGAGTCTAAAACCAATTTTCTTTCAGGGTTTAGGGTTTAGGGTCCCGAAAACCCGAAACCCAAGCCTTGGAGCCCCGGAATCACAGCTCCGAAGCCGAACTCGAAATCCGAAAACCCGCAACTTGAGCCTTAAAATGTTGATCCCCGAGCCTCACAGTTCCTGGGGCTGAACCCAAAACCCTCAAGCCGGAAACTCCTCAGGGGTCCTAGATAAACACCTGAAGCCCTAAGGCCCAGATCCTTATTCCAGCACCCAACCTCGGCCAGGCATCGCCGCTACGGCCCAGCTGCTCTGACGTCACACCGAGCAGGTAGGCCGTTTCGAGGGTGATTTCTACGACTGGGGGTTGCTCATGCAGGGTGCCTTCTATGATGCGGCGTCTTTCTTGGGATCCATGTCCTGAGATTCACATCGTACGTGGGAATCAAACGGGCATATCAAGGGGTAGGGTCTAGCGTTCAAAAACAAAACCTCAAACTCCAGACGTTTCTCAAGCGCGAAGCACTCTCTCTCTCTCTCTCTGTCATGCTTTCACTCTTTCACTCTTTCATTCTTCCATTCATCCATTCATCCGTTCATCCGTTCATCCCTTCATTCATCTGTATGGTACAAGGCACGCGAGCAATTACGGTATGACTACAAGATTATGCCTACCTAGCTATCCAGAACTTGTTTGACCAGGCTTGGCATGCCTGCCCTGCTCGATGTCGCCTGTGAAGTGCGGGACCCAAGACAACGAGGTTTTGATAGCTGTCGGTGCAGGTGCTTCCTGGATAAGGATTGATGGCATAAGGTTTATGGCGGCCTTATATGATCCAAAGACTTTGCAGCTGTTGCTTCCCTTGTGAGTACAAGCTCATGCTGCGTGCAGTGCGATTTCACATTATGACTCATGACCTAGAGGGGCATCTTCAAAACGATTTCAAGAGCAGAGCCCCTCCCCTACCCGAAAGCCCACGATTCAAGTATGAGGTTGACTTTTTCTGCTTGCCTCGTTGATACATCGGGACGAGTATTGAGCAAGCAAGATGTTCTGGTGCATGCAGTACCTTCCCGGCGAAAGAAGTGTGAACTCCGCCACCCTATTCCGAGTGTGAATTCTAACAAGTTCTGGAATTCCTGTACAACGCCGCTGCTGTAAACTGTAAACTCTTTCTGTAAGGCATTAATCAATTTGCTGCAGCCTCCATAGAGAACCCATGAACCCTGAACCGCCAGTTCCAAGGCAGGAGGTGGCCGCGTTCCGGCGAACAGCCCTGCAGCCTCTACAGCATCGCTATCCAGGCAGATTCAGTTTAGGGCGTGTCAGGGCTTAGGGTTTAAGGGTTTTGCGGATTCGGAGATCTTGGAGATCAGGACGAGAGTTCAAGGTTTAGGGCCTGGGGCTTTAGATTTTGGGTCTGGTCTTTGGGTCAGGCATTAGGTGCCTGCCGGCCGAATTTTCAGTCTTCACAGGTTCACACCAGGGAGCTTAAGGAAGAGTCATGAATGACAAACCCCGTCACCCCTCTTCTGCCTAAACCCTAAACCCCAAAAACCCTGTAGCACTTCTCTGTCTCAGAATCCTGAGTCCCTGAAGCCCCCGAGCTCCAGGCCCTCTGCCCACCGCTTCGCCCGGGGTGCGGCATCGAAGGAGGACTGGACTCGCACCCTGCCGCCCATTAGGGACTAGGACTGCAGACATTGCGACATGTCAGGGTTTGGGGGCTTGGGGCATAAAAGTTCAACATTTTCGGGATGAGGGCTTTGCGCTTTAGGGCTTTGCTGGTGTTAGGTTTTTGTTGGTTCCAGTTCAGGGCTGTTCAGGATTTCGAGTGTAGGTTTCTGGCTTCAGGGATGAATATAAACCCTCGTATTCTCAACACCCCGTAAATCGCAGGAAGATTTGTACGAATCTATGATACTGTAATATGTGACCTTCATTGTGGCTAAAGCTAGAGCCCTGCTGAGGTCCTGCCGAGGTTTGCATCGATTCGTAGGATGTGTTTTCATGTCGTGAGCCACACAGAACACCTGCTTGATGGAAGTTCAGCCGGTCCTTGTGCAAGAATGTCGATCAAACTGAGAAACCTGTCGCAGCAAGTTCTTCAGGTCGGCCATCGGCCTCCACCGTACCTGAAGCTTTTCCAGATTTCTTGTACTTTTTTGTAATAAGCCATAGAGCCCTCGCTCAGCCCCAGCACACCCTAGACTCCCTAAAGCCTGAACTCCCAGTCCCTGCATAAACAGTGCGCACCTCTGCGTCCGAGGCCTCGTGCACAAGGCAAACACCTTCATTCTCCGCTCCTACGTGGCGATGGCCGAGAGGGAACCGATCACAAAGTGCCTCGGAATGCAAGACAGAAAATGGATCCCCCATGTCATGTTTGCTGGTGCACTGGTACGCTGCAACTGCTGCTCCTGCCGCAGCTCCTGCTGGCGCTACTGCGACGGCTACGGCTGCTGCTGCTGCTGCTGCTGCGATGCCTGCCGCCGCCGCCACCGCCACCACCACCACCAGCAGCAGCAGCAGCACCACCACCACCACCCCCACCACCACAACCGACTGCGTTTGCGAAAGCAGCAGTCACCACGACCATTTGTGCTGCTAGAAGCAGATGTACTAGGAGTAACGTCAAGCTGCAGCTTCTTGATGTGTCAAGGAGTCCTCATTCACCTATTACCAGGGAGATTTAGAGAAGAAGGGCGTGGAGGGTTTCAGTTTTGGGGTTTCGGATTCAGGCACTTGGGGTTCGGCTCTGGGCTCACTTACCGCTTCTGCTCTCAGGGCTTCTGCCTTCACTGGAGAGCTCACCTAGAAACAACCGGAGGTGTCTTAGGAGTAGCTTGTCCTATGCCGTCGTGCTTCGATCATGCACAGGCTCAGGTGAGAAGAGTCTTTCACGCGCCTCACGGCGCACATCCTAAAGGCCGAAGCCTTCACGTTGACATGGCCCGAAAGTCTTTCACTCTCAACCACCTGCCGTAACAACAAGCCTAATTCCTGTAAGGTATGTTGAGGAGGCCACCCGGGCGTTTCTGGATGCCTGGGAGTTCGGGAGCTTGCTTCTCGGCACGATCTCCGCTCCGTTCTCGAAAGGATGTTAGTTGCGATTGATAACACCACATTTTGTGCACGGAACTTACGTGGCCGTGGGCAGTGATAGAGACATGTCTCGACAAATTGTACTGATTCGCAACTTCCACTATCTGTGTCTTGGTATCCGGCTCTTGTGCTTGTACTGGTAACCTGGTTATGATGATGATGGTTGCCTCTCCATGTAGAACCTGTACAGGTGCAACCATCTCAAAACCTTGCCGCTGAGGTTCACATGCGCCTGCCAATCTGCTGACTGTTGTAACCATGAACAGACATTGTTTTCAAATTTTACGTCAAGCGTGTAGGCTGATACAGGGTTCTGGAAGTTGTCCTGTAGGGCAGCATCTAGCAAAGGATCCAACAAGAACGCAAGTTGTCGACTGGTTTGGTCATCGAGACTTTCTTGCGAGGCTGCCCTTTCCAAAGCTCTTTCAGTTGGCTTTCGGTGTCCATCTGATTGGGCTCTGGGTGGCAGTGTATCCTCGACATGTCTTTGCCGAGGAAGGAGGATCCTATAGCAGCCCACCTCGTTCTGGACAAGGTCCAACTGAAGAGTTGGTAGTAGTGGGGCACCACCAGTATCTATCCCTGAGAGTTCCCTGGTATACTTATACTAGAACAAAACCCCAAATCCTATTCTAGTGGTTTAAAACCCCGACATTATAGTACCCTTATAGATCCATTATAGTAGCCCTTATAGACCCCGTTAAAGGACACCTAGTCTAATGGTTCGGGCCCCTTTATTACTAAACTGAGTCCTGGTGCTGGACTCCTGCTTTGGGTGGTCGGGCTTAGGCCCCCGGCAGAGGCTGAGCGTTCAGGGTTTCAAGTGGAAGAAGAAGCATGACTCTGGTTTAGGGTTGAGGATTTGAAGGGGTTGAGGGCTTAGGATTGTAAGAGGGTTTAGGGTTTAGAATTCTAAGCGGTTGAGGGTTTATCATGTTAAGGGGTTTAGGGTTTAGGCTGGTGGCCCAAGGACTCCTGGGCTGTAGAACCCTTATGAAATCCCCCTGCCCGCAAGAAGAGCAAATTTGGGAACCAAGCCACTTGCCAGAGGTTGGATACCCCCATGTCGCCTTCTCGGCCACAAAGTGTCCAAGTCCGAAAGACACCGCAACAGACAGGTCAAGAGCCAATATAACAAGCACCTCTCCAAGGCCGGAACATGTTTAGCAGGCTTTCCAGGGCTCCGGGGTTTGGGAATTCCGGGCCGTCTAGGTCTTAGGGACATTATGGCCTTGGGGTTGACGAAGATTTTTGAAAGTTTGCAGGGTTCATCAAAGTTTCTGGGGGTTCAACTGGGCTAGTGATGGCCTAAGTAGGCCCAGGCCCTGAGCACGCAGCATTCCATGCCAAAGCATCCATCGAATCTCACGCATCGATCAAAGAGTATACAATTTTAGACATGTGCCGGTAGACATGTAACCTCCTGGATACCCTGAGCCGCGAGCCCTCCTAAAGAAGCCTTGCCGTCCTGCGACGTCTCGGCTACTACTCCGTCGGAAGCCTCTTTCCGCCATCACCAGGCTCAGCCCCGAAATCCAGAGGCCCTAAGCGTTTGGGCTTCATGTGGGAAGTAAAGGCCCCCCCCCTCCCCTAAGGCTTCAAAGCCCTGTCAACCCTCATGTAGAGCTCCGAGTTCCGAAACTCTTGATTACGCTGCAGTCTCCCCCCCCCCCCCCCGCGCCCCCCCAACTGACCCCTAAACCCCTGAACCCTAAAACATGGCCCCTGTAGTCGCTGAGAGGCCTTGGCTTGCCTGGATCTGCAGAGTGTGGACGACCTGCGAGCAGCCGCCCCCTGGATGCAAGGAGTGTGTACTCGTAGGTGCAGGTTTTAGGATTTAGGCGATACAGGGGCTTGAATAAATACCACAAGCATTCCTTGAAGTTCCTTGGTATAACTATAGAAGCTCTCCAGATTTACGAGTGCTCAAGCCCTGAATGGTTGACATTCAAATCATCCTGGACCCGAAAACACTTCAAGCCTCGAAACTGCGAGCACGAAACTCTCGGAACGCTTATCTTGTTTCATACCTTGGACGGGAGCGCGACTAAAGCAACCCTATGAAACCCGATTATAACACCCTACAGTCTTGTCGTTGCTAATATTGTTGTGATTACCATTGCTCGTATTTCGGAATTTCAAGCCTATAAAAGCGGAGCCCTGACCCAGGCCGAAGGCAGCGCAGGGTCCGGTCCGGAGATCCAGCGACTCGGCTCTTCATTGCATCGGGCTGGGAATCTGGTGATTTTAGGTGTTTTGGTGTTTTGGGTTTAACGGTTTAGGGTTTAGGGCCAGGGTTTCAAAGGGTTTAGAGGGGTTTTGTGATTGGGGGGTCTTCGGCTTGAGTGAGGGCCCGACGCCGTTAGCATGAGCCATCGCTGGTGGTGGTGGTTGTAGGAGGAGTAGTAGTAGGATGGTGCTGTATGAGAAGCCACACTATTCCAAACTGATTAGCTTTAGGAGAGGTCGTTTGGCTTCATCTGTGATTGCAGAAACTCCCAACTCTCTTTCGTTTCTTACTGAAGGATGGTTGCGGTAAAGCTTGTGAGGCGTCTGGCATACGAGCCGAACTAGCCTCTCACAGGCCGGAAAACCCGCTCGGTGCCATGAATCCGAGAGCAGAGACAGACGTACTCCCCAGGCGTTTGTTTCTGAGGGCTCGGTGGAAGGAACGCGAGAGCAAGTCCTACAACGGTGCGAGGGCAAACTCGGGTTTAGCAAGCTTTAGCAAGTTGTGACCACAGCTGTATCACAGCTCTGTGTCCAGCTTCGGGCATCCCTGGTTGTCTCCTAGGCTCATGGACCCGGCTGTGATGAAGATGATGCTCCTCGGCTGCTGCATAGCGTGAGCTGCCCTATTTTGCCATTCCGACGGCGCGTTGAAGGTGCTGCCAGACACAGTCAGGAAGTAGGAATGAGAACACAACAGCACCATCATATTCCTGTCATGGCTGTCCTCAGAAGAAGAAGAAGAAACTGCTGGTGGTTACAGGGATCGGGGCCCAACACTGTAAAGCCCACAAAGCGTAGTGTCGCAGCAAGTGGATTGCGTTCGAAGACCGACCGAGGCATTTACTGTAAACTGCTGATGTGATGAGGATGGCGCATGTGATTCGTGCTGTTACGGTCACTAGATGACTTGAATGCTTTTTCGCCCAAATCTGTTTTGGCTTGACTTGACTGTAGTGTGTCAACTTCCTGCTTGCAGTTTTGGGTCGCTGCTCAAAGCCGGTTTTTGCTGCCCTACTAGTAGAATATTAACTGAGCCCGTGAACCCTCGGTTGCTCAGTCTCTCAGGTGTTCACACCAAATCACTGACTTTTCCAGCATGCCTGTGAGCACTCGATCCTACCCCCAGCCCAAAATCAGAACTTCTTCTGCTCAAACACTTCACCCATCCTAAACCCTATAAGCCCTAAACCGTGGTTAGACACTTCAGTTCTAGTTTTCTTCATATGCAGCCCCGCATCCCGAAGTCAGGACCTGCCACAGCCGGTACCTTCTTCAGATGGCCATGGCAATCGGCGATCGGAAGGAGCGGGTCTTGGTTTAGTTTTGGAGTTGACAATGAGGGCCGTACTACTGACGTCCGTAGCCTTTGGTTTAACAACTTCCAACAGTTTGCTGGTTAAGGTACTGCAACCCGTGATCCAGATTCTAGATACCGAGTTCATGATGAATAGAGTGCTCTGTTGGCTCGTCACGCAGCCGGGCAACAGTGTAACTGACCACGGTCATGACAACTAGTGCCAACAGCAGTGGCAACATCACCAACATGGCCAAGACTGGCCGTGAACCCAAAGCTTGAGCCTAAACTTTTCAAGGACCTTCGCACATCCGAAAACCCTGAAACCAAAAAAGCCTAGCACAAAAAACGCCAAAAGCCGTATAGGTCGCAAACCCCCTGACACTGCCTGGAAACCAACGTGACCGCGCGTAGAGGCGCTGGCGTTGGCACTGGCTCACGACTCAGGGAGACGGGAGGAATTCAATCTCAGGCACCCTCAACACATGCATGCATATCTGAGCTACAATCAAGGCTAAGGTGGCACGTAGGGTCACATGACGGCTCCTGCGGGTGCCGCCGCAGATGTGGCTGCGGCGGCAGGTGCTGGCTGCTGCTGTTGCTCCTATCCTCCTCCTCTTCCCCCTACTTCTTTGCTATCGGTACAACTGCGACTACGACCACGACTGCGACTGACTACGTCACGCAGTACTGCGACCGCCACCGCTGCTGCCCCTTATAGACGCCGACCACTTCCGCAACCGCTACCTCTACCGCTACTGCTACTGCTACACAGCGCTAGCGAGAATCGTCTTGTCAGAAGAGCAGCTGCATCGCCGATGCAGCATCGGTAATACTGACGCTTGCAACCGGGTTTCGCAGAACCTGGGCATTGGCGCATAAGAAAGGTTACAACCATACAAGGGTTGACGGCTCGTAGCCTTACCTCGACATCCTTAAACCTAAGCCCAACTCCATACTCAAAGCCAAGGTCGAGTCTTGCCGCCTCATGGGAGATTTGCCTGATGCGGATACTTGGCAGCTGAGTTCTTCATGCATGAATTTGATTTTAGGTTGCTTATGGGATCATGCAAACGCTGAATGCCTATAGTTTCACACATAGTTTCTGTACAACCTAGCGAGTAAGGGGCCGAGCAGGCGTTGATTATGTCTGAAGCTAGAACCCATTTTTCGGACTCGGTAAGTGTTTCAAGCTTGGTTGCGTAGAGGTTTCGGGGATTAAAGTGGGGCTTTCACCCCGTTTGACTGAGGTTGCGATCCCAAACTCTGCATGGGTTTAAGGTGTTGGGTTTGGGGCCTACTTCGGCACTGTGCGGCAGAAACCCCTCGTCAGGGCTTTGGGATGCTGCCGTAAGCTTCTCGGAAAAAGTGACCTTTATGATAGCAAGCCTGATCCAAAAAGTCCGTAGCGAAACCCTCAAACACGAAGCCCGAGAGTGCTGGAGCAACAAGAGGCACTTCTACCAACCCAGCGGCTGGGAAAAGGGCTCGAGAAAAGCAGGGCCTGAACCATCCTGAGCCGCCTCAACCCTAAACTCCTAACCCCCAAATCCTATGACCCTAAGTCCCAAAAGCGATCCCTCAGTCTGTGAACCCTTGGCCCTAAGCTATGGAGCTCTCCTGTGCCCGCAAGCTCCTCTGCAGGCACTCTGGCAGCCGGCTGTGGATCCGAGGCCGGGTGTGAGTGGGGCTCTTTTGAGTTTGTAAGGGTTTAGGGATTTCTGGTTTAGGGCACAGCAAGAGTTCTAGGGTAGAGGGGCCTGTATAAATTAAATGGGAAGTGTAAGTTTGTTGTATGTCATGATGGATCCCTAAACCCCACCCCAGACCCCATATCCTGTCCCGAACCCTGGACCCTAAACCCTAAACTCCGGAACCCTAAGCCCGGAATCCCAAGTCCCAACGCCTCAGCATTCAGAGCTGGAAGCACCGAAGAGACCAGGCCGGAGGACGACGGGGAAGAGGCCCGAAAGGAGGAGGAGGAGGAGGCGGAGGAGGAGATCGAAGCTTGGAGGGTTGACTGTTTAGGGGTTTAGGGGTTTAGGGTTTAGGGGTTTAGGGGTTTAGGGTTTAGGGGTTTAAGGGGTTTAGGGGTTTAAGGGGTTTAGGGTTTAGGGTTTAGGGTTTAGGGGTTTAGGGTCTAGGGTGTATACGGTTCGAGTTTCGCGGGCTTCCAGCTTGAGCGGTTTCGAGTTGGGATTTACAACAGATTTGGAGCTCAAGGGTTGGGAGAGTTGAGGGTTTGGAGCCCGAAGGGTTGACGCAGGCTATGGGTTTTGAAAGTTTCGATTCCGGCTCTTTGGGGTGTTTGGAAGATGAGAATGAAATCCACAAGGTAGGCCTCACACCAGAACTCCCCCCAAATGTTGGTCGGTCTTTTGAGCTTAGGACTTGGATCTAAGTTTGGGTTTTTGGGCTTTAGGGCTTGGAGCTTGCTATTGCCGATCAAGTCGAAGATTTGGTATTCCATTGAGGTTGATGTGGCCCGCGCTTTTTGGACAAGTGGTTAGCACAGGAGGTTCGACAGAGTCCCCCCCCTCGCAAAGGCTCGCAGTCTTAAACTGATTGACCCTAATAACATTGGCATCAGCCCTAAAAGCTATAGCGTCTAGAACCCCTCCAAACTCCCAAAAAACCTCACTCGCTTGAAGTGGCAAGACTCCCAAACCTGAGAAGTGTCATGCGCAGGACCCCGTACCTGCGGAGGCCCCGGTGGCAGCAGAGGGCCCGGAGGAGGAGGAGGAGGAGGAGGAGGAGGGAGCGCTCCAAGGCCCCTGCGACCTGCTTCAAGGGCCAAAGAGCCCTTAGAGGGGAACCGGTTACCCTGAGCTTCTGGAGGCACCCTCGCCGGGCCCTGCGCCTTCGATGGGGGCCCAGGCCGACGATGTTGTTTAGGGCTTTTGAGAGTTCGAGGTTTCGGTTGTCCCTTGGCGCTGCCGTGTCAGATGCACTGAGCAGATCGAAGCATCCGACGGAGGCTTGCCAGAAGGGGAGCTCCAATGCCGCCCGAATACTCCAGCAAGGAGCAGCTCGGGCTTTTGCAGGTTAGATGTCTGAATAGCAATGACCAGGCGACTTCTGCTTGTAGTGGTCGTGGGAGTCGTCTTAGTAGTCGTCTTTGCAGTAGCACTAGTCGTGGTGGTGGTGGTGGTGGTGGTGGTGGTGGTGGTGGTGGTCACCTGGCAAATCCTGGCAAAAACGCGTTCTGCAAAAGGCAACGGTATGTACACCATGCCGGGCAATCAGCACACTTTTTTTCACCTGAAGAACAATGCCTCGGATGTAGTTCTAAACGGTCAGGCTGTCCGGACACGCAGTCAGGAGACCAAGGCGGTTTGAGCCTTGTGGAGGCAAGTTGTACAGACTTTCGAATCCACCAGTAGACTGCAGTAGCTGAAGGTACCCGCATCTGCCCACCACTTTCTGTCTGTAGAGGGTAGAAGAACAACCTGGTCTCACAGTCTATTTTGCACCCCGAGCCCAAGGCATGCAATACCCTGTCCCAAACATACCAATCTCTGAGGCCCCTGAGTTTAAACCCCAGGTCTGAGGCCCCTAAGTTCGAAGCACTCCAAGGCATCGACAGTGCAGACCTGGTTTTGGCAGGCTCTCTGCTTTGCAGTTTGAATCGAGTTGGTGTGCGAGTTCTTGTCTTGCTATGACTGTTGCCACTGATGAGGGGGCAGCTTAGGCATCAGCTACATGTACATGGGTAGTTATCAAAATTATGGTCCCTTTTTGTCCTTATGATAGTACGGCACCGAACATTCAGGGGGCCATAATTTTGACAACCACCCATATAGTATCAGTGCCACTTCTGTTTTGCCTTGGTAGCCCTTGCTCTTCCTAGAGTTGTTCCTATGTTTAGGCATTGTGGACACCGTTGTAGAAGATCATGGCATTGCTTCTTTTGTTCCTCCTCTCCCCTATTTTGTTCGTGTGGGTGGGGGTGAGGTCATCGCTTCGCATGTGCAGGCTGGGTTTTGCGCAGAGGTTGGGATATGTACTTGGTGGTTGTGGTTCAGGGTCGGGGGAATGTAACTCTTGCCCATGCCAAGAATTCCGGAACTCAACACTTTCGCCCTGGCTTTCACAGCGCCTCAAATTATGAGTTGCCCATTCCGGCCACTTGCGCTCCTCCTGCTGCTCCTCCTACTGCTATTCCTCCCACAGCTGCGTCTCTCCTCCTACTTCCGCTGCTTCCACTGTTCCGACTGCTGCTCCTCCAGCTCATTTCCACCGTACACAGCTGCCACCACAACGACGGCTTTCGGAGTCTGATTTCCCCATGTCTTCCCGGCCACAGACCCGGGGCCACTCTGGTCGTCGCTGCACCGCAGCTTTGCAGAAGGCCCCAATGGATTCTGGAGAATCAGCAGGGATTCCGGAGGGTTACTGTAATAACCCCTGGAGTCTACTAGAGCCTAATCTTCAGGCTTTGGGGTTTGGGGTCTCTGGGTGGCTACTTGGATTTGGGTAGGGCACTGGGGTCAGGTCCAAGGCCTTGAACCCTCAAGGCTTGAAGCCCTAAACCCTTCAAAGCGTCAGCGACCGACTCCACGCCGCAACCACGGCCCTGCAACCCGAGCTCTGAACCGGTCTGAGAATCCCTCGCGTCACTCACTACGAAGACGACGGCAAAGACAAGGACGATCACAAGCCGTGGTGGCAACCGTATGAGGGGTTGGGACTCCAACCGGAGCCTCATAGAAACCCAAACTGGAGGCTCCTTACCAGAAGTGTGTTTTTGCAGGTGCCGGCCCCGCCACGCCTCTTCCGGCGCGCAGTTGCGCACAGCTCCTGCAGATGGCGCGAGAGATGCGCCCCGGCTTAGGGCTGACTCGAAGGACCAAGTAGGGTTACAGTAAACCCCAAAAAGTTGGAAACCGGATTAAGGACAATTAGTGCTGGGATCCCTTATACATGACTCTTAAGGATTGAGGCTATTGGGTTTCCAACTTTTGGGCTTCTACTATATCATTTAAAGCAATCATAATTATACCTTATACCTGCTTATATTTGGTAGAAGGGAGCTTCCAACACCACTCACTTACCAAGTCCCCTGATACTTTGAGCATCAGGGTGGAAGGGACGAACACCATCTGTAGTCTAGACCCCAAAGTGCAATGTGCAATGTCCTGTTCTGGGGCAACTTTGGCCATTCTGGACCCTAGACCCCTGGTTTAGTTCTGCAAGGTATCGCCAAAAGCTTTTCGACGAGTCGCAGCAGCTGTTGCTGACGGAGGCTGCAAGAGTTGTGCTTGCTGCTATAGTAGCAGCTATCCTGAATATGGGTGGTCATACTCAAAACGCCTATCATCGCTTTTTCATTTCTAGCATGCTATGGGTATGGCGACACACAGGTGGACTCTCGCGATGCACCCGATTTTCCAGGATCTACCATTACTGTGCTATGATGGAAGCCAGCTTGCTTGTCATGTTTCTGTCACATCCGTACTTTATACCTCCGTTAATTATCAGTGTTGTGTTTCTCCTTGATGTTCTTCTTGGTGTCAGGGTTCAGGGTTTAGGATCGGGATTCGGGCAGCTTCATCTCTGAGGCAGTAGGTCTACAGCAACGCAAAGGATAGTACTCTTAAGAACAACCCTGTCTGAACCCTTCAAGGCACCTTTTGCAACCCCCGAACCATCTGGAGGCTGCTCGTGAGCTCTTGGGCGACGGCTTGGACCACTTCGGCGAGGCCGGTCGTGGGCTGGGGAAGTCAAAGGGTGGTGATAGTTCAGGGGTTACTTTAGAAGCGCTGCTACTAGGATAGCTTGAAGCGATAGTATAGCACTTGCTTTAGGAAGTGATGAGGGTTTATTGGGGGTTAGGGCTTCTAGGGTTTAGGCTTTGGGGTTTTTGGGGTTCAGGGTTTGGGCTTGCGGTTTATTTAGGAACGATTAAGCGCACGCTCCAATGAAACAAGAAGTGCACGGACAGATCAAGTAAGCCAGCAAGTATACATACTCGAACACCTGCGACGTGCACTGACACGCACCCATGGTTCCCGTCTGGATCCTTCAAAGTTAGCCTGCATCGTTTCCGGTTTGACGGCTGTCATCAGCTTCCTTTGGTTTGCGTAGTTGTCGTCGCTGTGGCAGTCGTGGTGATCTTTGTCTTTGAGGCACTTACAAGACTCGAGCAACCTTCGCCTGAAAACCGCTCCTGCAGCCTTAAGCCTTGCACTCAAAACCCTGAAGCCCTTCCGGCTTGACCAAGGCTTGGATGCAGCAGCAGCTGTCGGTGATGCGCAGCAAGCAGGCCGGCCCGAACGACTTCAGGTTTAGGTTCAGGTTTGAGTTGTCACGCGTTTTGCAGTAGGGCCAGTAGGGGTTTAGGGATCCTAAGCCCCAGACCCCCAGCCGCAATTTGGTGTTGGAGGAAGCAGTGCACACAGACCCTGCCTCTCGTGTCGTCAGTTCGACTTGAGGTCCAACGGCTTACTTTGAGCAAGCCTAACTCGGATGAATCCCAGCCTGCATGATCTATCGAGACGATAGCCCCGCCCCAATGCTCTCAAGTTCAAAGGCCCTGAGCTCTAAAGCCCTCACCGGGGTCTCAACAACTCAAAGATGCTGACGCAGTGAAGGCAGCTCCAACCCCAAACTGAAAAATGGGGGAGTATATGGCACCGGGCCAGAGTAGGCATAGTCTTCTTATTGTTGCTACTGTCATTGTTCTGACCATGACTATGATTCTGCTTATAGTTTTCGCACATGGGCTCGATCCCGAACTCCTGAAGCTCTCCTCCGTGAGGTTGGCAGCCTCGACCCGCGGTCGTTCCTCGTCTTTGCTGGGATTTGGGCACTTTGGGTTTTGGGGGGCTCTGGGCGTTTGGGTTTCCAGGGTTTTTAGGGGGGATCGAGGGGCCTGCTTGGAATATGTATATTTTGACGGGGGGTTGTTTCGAGGGAGGGGGGGTTTGGGGTTTCTGGGACTTGAGGTTTGAGGCTCAGAGGTCAGACCTGAGTTCATTGCTGCGCAGAGTTGTGGGTTCAGGGGCAGGGGCGCAGTGTCCAGAGTTTCGCCTGGGGATTCAAATCCAGAGTTCTCATCAAAAGCTTAGTCTGAGCAAAATCCTCGCGAATCCAGAGCAGCCGGGCTGTTTCGGGCTGTTGTCTTTGGGGGCCGCAGAATCGTGGCCTTGGGGCTGCAGGGCACTAACATAGATGGGCAGGATTCAGAAATTCAGGCTTTTATGCAGGGTTACCTGGAGGGAGTTGCGGTTGCGGAGCTTTCTGGTTGGATCGAGTGTTCCATTGGCATACGAATCATGCGATTGTGCTGTTCGTTCTGCGCGACAAACGGAGCTGAGCGAGTAGCAGCCGTAGCGGCAGTGCGGCAGCACAGCAGCAAAACGGCCACACCGCACAGTCAAAATCTAAGCTTTCACAAGCTTTGCCTTATCTCAACCCCAACCCGTGCACGCAAAACCCTGAACTACTGCATAAACCCTAAGCCTCAAGCCCCATCCAAGGAAGAGGGAGTTGGAGTCCCCGAAGTTCATCCGCTCCTTGCAGGTCCCCTCATCTTGGGCTTGGCTTTGCTGCACAATTAGGGATCACCTGAATTCGAGGTTCATGATTTAGACTAAATTCAGTCAGATCCGAGATTTTAGCGTTACATCTTCCAGCCTCAACCTTAGACTTTGACACCGCCAGCGGAAGCCTGAGCCTACACCTTTCCGTTGACTCTTGAGGCTTTGTGTCATGGAGGTTGGGGTTTATGATTCGGGCGCGGAATAGGACGTGAAGTGTGCAGTCTTTGCAGCCAGCGCCTGTTTTCGGATCTTAGGGTTGAGGAGTCTCAGCACAGGGCCGAAGCCTTCCCGTGTGGATCCTGTCGATCTTCGGGCATCACCAGTCTCTCAGCCCAGAATGCTCAGAAGCCATGTGAGTTCCTCCGCGGAAACTCTAGCAGCAGACCAGCCCTAAGCGGTACAGCAACCGTGCCCAAGCTAAAAAACACCTGAAACACACCCGGAACCATTGAGATTTGTTCGTCAAATCCTTGCTTTTTGCGCCGAAGAGGCTCTCTTTGACCTCACCACGCGGCAGGTCGCTGGGCAGCAGGGCAGTTTGTCCAACAGGGTTCGCACAAAGTCTTTGAGCACTAGGCCAAAGCTCTGAGCCGGCATGACATCCATGCCTCAAGCTTAATTCTGAAACTCTCGGTGTCCATCTTGTGACGTCCGAAACCTTTGCATTCCTTGAATCCTGGCAGGTCATCACTCGTGACCGACAAGGAAAGTTGCCGATGGGGCCTCAGTTGCCTCAGCAAGGTTGGCCGATGCCTTTGGCATTTTTGCAGCTCCGGAATGAGAAGATCTGCTCTCTCTCTCTCTCTCTCTCTCTCTCTCCAAACTTTCGACTCCTGGAGCAACAGATAAGACCAGATGCTCACTGCGAGCGCTTGAGGAGCTGCACCCGCAATAAGGCCTTAATCAAACAGAATGTTGTTGAGGGTGGTATATTATCAGCGTATTGAAGGAACCCTTGGGACAATTTGAAACTATTCAGACCCCTGTATTCATCACTAATCAAAGCGGAGGGTGCGGCCGCCGTTCGATTACCTGCCGAAAGAAAACGGGACAGTGAGAAGAGAGGTCTCCCACACCCTGTGAGAGGTCACAGGCTTTAGGCGAACTTATCACTACTCCTCCCCAGCGGATTAGTCTGGAGAAGACGTTGACATTCTGTTGACCATCTCGACCAGCACCGAGTGCTATCATCCTGAACAACATTCAAATGTTACCCGGTCTTCACACGGGAACTGATTTGTCATGCGCAGCAGTGCCGCCATGAGTCCTAAGGACGCGGCTCAAGGCGGGGGAGGGAACGATCTCGCTTCAAGGGAGGTTGAGTTTACGCATACGATGCAGCTCTTCCTTTTGCAAGGGTTGCGGATCTCAGCAGGATGACCACCGCAAGCGAGATCTAGAGCAAGTCATCTCAGTCTGTTAGTTGTAGGCTCGAGCGCTTTCTTGTGACTTGGAAGGGTTCCGGTCAGCTGTCGATAGCCATACAGTAAACCCATGCACCTTCCCTGACAGGTCGTCAAAGCCAAGCGATCTGTCAACCTGGACGCCTATCGCGATTCTTGACAGGAGCAGTTTAGTCTCTCTTCTTCACCAGATGTGGAAGTTGTGAGTAGCCCAAGCATCGTCGCGCATCCCCAAGCTAATTCCAATGGCCGGAGCCCCACAAGTTCAATGGGCGTGCTTGTGCATCGGGGGCGCGCCCGGAAGGAAAAAGAGGCGAGGATTAGTCAACATTGTTTTGCATCTGCATCCTTGTTCCTCGTACTTCGGTAGATGTCAAATTTGTGTTCAGACGGTTTTCGGATGTGTGGTGATCTAGGCCTGCGCGGTATTTGAGGGAGTTGTGAGCGAGCTGAGGCCTACTATGCCCGCCGAGCAGAGACCCTTGTCCGACATTCAGGTGTTGCGTGTGGAGATCTAGAATCTAGGGTTTCCGGTCTGGAATCAGCTTGCGGGCAGCCCCAAGAGTTTCAGCAGCGCGTGGTCAAATCAGAGATTTGCCTTGGGATGCAGGCTGGTTTGGAGATGCCTTACTTTGTCAGGCCCTGTTAGGCCCAGTAGCAGGAGAAAGAGCAGTAGCAGTAGTAGCAGTGGTAGTGGTGCTGGTACTGGTAATTGCGGTCGTGTCGTCGTGGTAGTTGCAGTGGTGGTGATACTAAAGGAAGAGGAACAGGAAGAGACGCAGCAGCAGCAGGCTCGGGCCAGGACAGGAGTAATGGTCGTCTTGCTTGTGGTTTCAGCGGTCGTAGTCTTCGGTGACGTTTGATCGAAACGGTTCTGACGTGGACATGCAAGACTTTCAAGCATAACAAGAAGATGAGAACCTGAAGACACGCCCAAGGTAGGCTTTTCTGATCACGATGATCGTCGTGTACCAGTGTACCATCGGCACCACTTCTCAATCCTTAGGTTTTCTCAGCCACTACGCTGCCAAAGTCTTGTATACTGAGAGAAGCAGAGTGGCGAGACAAAGCAGCAGAGGATCGAACAAGCCCTGGCACAGCCTGCTCCTGGCGCGGAGACTGCGACGCGCCTGGACGACTGCCTCACCATAGGCCCAGGACGTTTGGAGGTTTGAGGTCGAGGGATCCTGAACCCTCAAATCATTGATGAGCATGGGGCTTAAAGGCTCAGAGCTCAGGCAGTTCGATTTGGCGACTTGCGGCCTTGGGGCTTGGATACAGCTTCGGGGGCTCTCTGGTACAAGGAATCTTGAATTCTAGGGCTTACCGCCTTACCGAGGCTTGCCCTAAACCGCGAAGCCCGGAACCGGAAAGTAACAACGAAAGCCTCAAAAAGCTACACCCATGTTAAATCTCCATAGTTGTACGTCCAACTTTGGAGCCCTGATCCAAACCTTCAGAAGAGCCTACCAGCCTCGGGTTCCCCGCAGACAGGGCCAACCGGCTGCTACCTCAGCCGAGAGCTGCGCCTGATGCAAGGCCTAGGAGGGTTTAGGGTTCAGGGTTTACATAAGGTGCAGGGTTTTGGGTTTGGGTCCGAAGACCTACCGGTACACGGTACTCGCTTAAAGCTTAGAGACGTTTCGAAGCTAGGGCTGGGTTCCTGCGCAGCGAGATCCTGGGATGTACTGAAAGCAATAGAAGCATCGAAACAGATTGCCAAGATTATTCCTTGGGCCTCGTAAACATAACCATACGGTAATGCACCCTAAATCCAAAATATTTTTCATTCTGACGATCCCTATGTTCGGGGGGTTGAGATTTACTTTGGAGTTCTAGGTTGTCGATCCAGAGAATGAACGTTGCACAGTCCTTGGTTGCGGAACATACCTTCAACCTCTTAAGGTCTTTCGTGTACTCTACGGCATATTCCTTAGTGCTCCTGAGCCTAGGCAGCGTAAAAGCAGAGAAAATGAACAGGAAGCCCGAAACCCCCGACCCCCAGCCTCAGACTCCCAGACACCCTCTCGAATCAACGAAACCACGAGCCTAAGCGCCGGAAGTCTCTGCCCTGGAGGGGTTTGGCTGGACGCCGACACTGGCAGCCGTTGGCTCATCGACGGTGACCAGGCTTTCCGAAACCTTGGGGGTTGGGCCTGGGATCCTTGGCTGTGGCTGAGGGGTTCGGAGATGAGTGGGAGCGCTGCGAGGATGGTGAGTGTTGAAGGTGCAGGATTTGATGGTCCCGCTCCGGTCTCTTGTCAGGGTGCTCGATGACATAGTCTGGACTCTTGCTTGACACTTCAAATTAAGTCCAAAGCAACCCATGGCGTACAAGCTAGTCAGAGAGGCGTTTGTTCCCAGGGAGATTACACTGCTGTGACCAAGGCGATGCTGTGCATGTAAGCGCAGAAACTCAAATCGTCTGTCGCATGGGACTTGAGAAACCTTCAACCTCCTTTACTAAACCTTCACCCTGAAACCCTCCAAAACGCTGAAGCCGTCAACGAGAAACCTGGGTTCGGCTGCACTCTGAACGCCCAGGAAGCCAGGAACCATGGACGTTCTCTCAATTTGGCAGTATACGGGCCGGAATTATTGGTAAGAGTATCCCCTCGTCGGCCCCATGTAGTTAAACTACAAAATACCCCAGAACCCTAATCTAGTGTTAAGACCCCGGCGTTCGCTGTTTTCATGCCCCTTTGCGTCCCCACCACCATAACTTGCAAACATCCAGCTCTCCAGCTTCACTCACCCCACCCCTACCCCAACCTCCGAATCCAAAACCTTTGAGGATGCTGTCTTAAAGCCTGGGATGCCCCACTGTGGAAGCCTGCCTAGCTTCCAATACCATTCCGGAGAGTTCCCATGATAGCTATAGCATCAGTGTACCCCAAAGCCTTATGCTACTTTTTAGGGACCCCAACTTAGGCTACACTAAAAGTATAATCAACCCCAAACGCCCTGTTCTAAGCCTTCACGCCCCAGCTTGCCACGGCCACTTCGGAGGTCTACCGGGTGCCCGTCCTCGCAGCACAGCTCCTCGATCCGACCAAGGCCTGGTCCTAACGGAAATATGAATATCATTGCTGTCTTCATGTTTCTAACTATTATCAGATAGTTGTCATTATCAGCATTGTTGGTGTTAGTATTATGCTTGGTACTATTAATAATATAAGGCCACCCCCCCCCCCCCGCCCCCCCCAACGAAATATTAGCCTGCACTCCGGATCCTAGAGCCTGTTTGCCCTTTGCGTTGTGGGGGTCTCCGTCTGGAGCCTGAAACTTTGGGGCTTCAGCAGAAGGCCGAAGGTCCTGAGCTCGAGGATGCTTTGCGGTTGTGTTAAACCGTATACCCTAAACCCCTCAACCCCAAACCCCTAAACCCTTAACCCCTAAACCATGCCTCTGTTGGCAGGCTGACGTTGTGGAGTTTCTCTGAGCTTGGACTTGATGATACTGGATGTGTTTCTGGTACGGAAGTTTCGTGGTGATATATACTGGAGTTTCAATACGGGATCAGGTTACGCCGGGTCACGAAGAATGATCCCGTCTCCTGTTTCGATGTCCCTCGATGGAGGCTTTGAGACGTGAAACTTCGAACACTGCTAGTTCTACTCAAGGTACAACTACTACGTCCTCTGGTATGCATGCTATTGCTTGCGAGTAGTATTGAGTTCTTTTTACTTACTTGCCGTAGGGCAAGGAACGCCTTCGTTTACTATCACTCTTTCGGGCTCAGTGGCAAGTCAAAGCACCGGGACATCTTTGCAGGGTGAAAGGCTTGACGGTTCAAGGCTTACGGGCCAGATTGTTTAGGCATATTTAGGCTTTGGAGCTTAGGGCTTCGTGTGTATAGGCTTCAGGTAAAGGACTGAGGGCCTGGGGTTCGGAAGTGTTGGGGTCTCAGGTTTTGAAGGTGCGTGGCTTTTCGACCTGGGTGTTTAAGGGCCTCAGATTTAGCGTTTACTTGACGGTCAGCTGGCCCTCTCTTTCCGTGTTTCCGCTCTCTCTCTCTCTCTCTCTCTCTCTCTCTCTCTCTCTCTCTCTCTCTCTCTCTCTCTTGCTTCCTTCAATGGGTGGTGGTGGTGGTCAGGGCGAGTTAAGGGCCAAGGGCAACCACCCCTGCAACGTCTCGTGCCTACAGGCGGCTGCTATCCACGACAGTGAGGACGCAGCAGGGAAGCCGTGAGCTCTAGTCCTTTTCCAGCCGCAGCAGCAACAACAACACTGATAATAGGTGGCAGGAGCAGGTGTGGGACCAGCACCAGCTGCAGCAGCAATAGCAGCAATAATCATAATCCCGTCGCAGGATGTGCAGCAGCTGCGGCCGGTCCAACAGCCTGTGGTCGTCTCGGTGGAGGTATCCGGCCCGAGCCCCAGTAGCGAAAGACAACTGGGCAAAGAGAGATGGGAAGGCAGCGAGGAAAAAGAAGAGAGATAGACAGATGTATTTGTTCTATACATGTGTGTGTATACTGCTGTATCCCTTCACCCCTATCCTGAAGGCGGTTTGTGGTTTTCAGGACAGGACGAAGTTCGTTGCAACGGGCTCATGCTGATCGTTTCCTCCGCGGCCAAACTCCAAGGTACTGGGACTGGCGACGCGGCGAACTATAGATTGGCTGCCAGGAATCCGAAAGATCCTGCCTTCCCTGTGAGCCCTCAAACCCCATGCGCCCTGAAAGTGTTTCCTCCAGGATCACTGAGAATTGTCAGCCAATGACGCGGCTTGACATATGCTCGGTCCTTCCAGTATCTTCCAGTCATAAAATAATGCCATTGTTGTTTAGAGCAATTAATGATTACCATGCCTCGCTGACTAGTACCTGATGAGAGAGCAGAGGAGAGCAAAAGAAGTTCAAGACGGAACCCTTGCCTTCTAAATCCCAGCAAAGTCTTTCTTCCCAGGCCCGGCAGAGATGCGTCCTCGGGTCCCTCAGTGGCCTCGGCTGCAAGATTGGTCTTCGTGTGTGGGTGTGTGTGTGTGTGTGGGGTGGTGTTTGTTTTTGTGTGTTTGTCCGATTTCATGATGCTGTGGTCTTTATGAGTGAGTTCCTCAGATGGTTTACTGTGCACATTCGGTTGTTTAGTACGATTGCTCGCCAGGCTCTTTCGCAGGTTCTTGGTTGCATAGCTAGATGCCCTCTGGAGAGAAAGCTCCCAAAAGCTTTCAGAAACCTCTGCAGGGCTTGACCCTGAACCCAAAAAACCTAAACCCCAAACCCGAAACCCTCAACCCCCAACCCCCTTAACCCTAAACTCCAAGCCGTAAGCCCCCTTGTGCCTTCGGGCTGCCTACTCGTCGGAGGTTCGCACGAGAGATCCGCAAGCGGGCGAAGGATGACGACCCACAGCCGCACCTCAAGTCAGAATAGTTCTTGTTCGTGTATAGCATCTTCTCAGAAGGGAAAGAAGAAACATTCTCAGGTGCCTTCAAGAAGAAACAGAAGGAGGTACAGAAGCGCGAAGTTTGGAGTTGGAGTTTACTTACTGTTGTTACTGTTGTGTTGAGCTTCCTTCTTATCTTCTCAATAAGCACTGTCGTCATGAAATTCTCATGCCAACACGAAGCTAACTGTTCGCTTGCTGATGAAGAGAGTTTAAGCATGCCTCCATTCATCTTCTTGGAGGTTGCGATACACATGCTAAACTTCTTCACCATCTTCAATCATTGTCGTCTTGGTCGTCGTCACTATCACCCAGATTGATCGTGTTCTCCGTTTCTGTCCAACCTCCTTCATTGTATGACTCTGCTCCCTGCTAGGTGTTCAGCATTAGGGTTTGCAGTCTGAACCTTTGGGCTCAAGGAGGACTGCGAGGAGAACCCTCAAGACAAGATGCCCGTCAAGGCGACGTACCACGGATGGTGCGCGCCTGAGACGAGAGTCCCCGACAGAACTAAGTTGTCAGGTCCGAGGTTTCATGGCAAGCGTTGCCAGCCCATGTAGTTGTCGGAAATCCCTGTGCCCGTAACCTTGATCCTCGAACGACCTCCGTTGGAGCATCCAGTGTGCACTTGGGCGAAAGGTGGTTCCAGCAGTTGTTGACGAGGGAGAGGGCGAGGAGAAACACTAACCTTTGTTGCAGTGATTGCCTCGCAACTGTACTTATACTGCTGGTGTCGCTACTTGGTGATAGTAACAGCAACGGAGGAATGATACCGTGCTCAGCTCCAGATTACAAATTCACATTGCCATGAATGTTTCTGATGTGATCGATGGTAGTCGTTGGGCAGTGATTCTGTTTCGTCGCCAGCGATTTGACCAAATATGACGGGGAGAAGGAAGAAGAGTCATCGTCGCCATTGTAGAGATGATTGTCGTGAGCCGCTATCAAGGAGGACCAAGCCCGGACCCCGAAGTCGGGCAACACCCACCGGCAAAACATCAAACGATGCACCCAAGCTCAGCTAGTGAATCTCAATTCTCAGGACGTACCATAAAGAGGGCTTAGGCTTCAATCCTAAAGCTACAGAACAGAAGCAAGCTTCATACCAAGAGCAACCGTACCTGCACCGAAGCCTAGTCGCCAGGCTGGATGAGTCAGGCCACTCAGCTGATCTTTGGATGCGACGGGCTGCCAGTCATGAGCATGGCGCAATGCTGCAAAGGCACTTGCAATATGGTGTAATCCGGTACTAGGTGCAGGTAATTACAATGGTAAGCTGCAAGGCAACGTAGCTTCATATGTTTAAATGTTGTACATTGTAAATAATAAAAGCAGATCACATACTTCACAAGGTGCATCCGGTCCGCGAAAGGCATAGTGCATCGCGCCATCGCGCCCTAATACAGGATCCGAATAATTTGTAACAATACCCCCTTGTTTTCCCATAAATCCGCAGTATAACATGCCCGAAAACCTTACTCTAATGATTGCCTTCCTCTCATAGATGAAAAGCCTCTCCCAATCCTCCCTCCCCGCCTCTAAAGTAGGGGGTAGATCCGGAGGTTCTTGCTTGTCATTGTGCTGACCCCGAAGATGCGCACACTCAGGCGGTTTCGGTTCCCATTCTTTTGTCGATACGATATTTCATGGAACCCGGATACGAGCAGCGGTGTGTCTTATCGTAGGGCCTGAATCTCCAATTCTTCAAGGAAACTTGGGTGGACAAAAGAAAAATGCTGGGACCGGGCCGCCCAATCACTCTTTTAGGGTTTAAGGTTTAAGGCTTAGGGTTTAGGGTTAATTTATCGGCTCCGAGAATCTACGGAATCATAGCACGGCCCCTCTCGAGGTATGCGGGTGACCTGGCGCTGTGAGAAGCTCCTCGGCCCACTTCATGGGTGTCGTGGTAGTAAGCCGGTGATCTGTAAGTTTTTGGGGTCAAAACAGCTCTACCTTTTTCAGTCTACATGTATAGCCTAGATTGGGGCTGCTCTGGATTGGAATCCCTTTACTCCCGGGGATTTAAAGACTCCTACGGGAATCGGATGTTATCCTGGCGTTTTAGATATCTAAAAGCTCAATCGTACACTCGTGGATTAGGGCATCTGTTGAGGCCCGGCACAGAAGCTAACTTCCGAACCATGTATATAGCGGCAGCGAGATCTGTATTGTGAACTCAAGCAGACTTTGCAAGCAAGGCCATGAACTCCGTCGCCCCGAGTCTTGAACCATCTCCCCACCATACGCTCCATGCTGAACTTCCGAACACGATTAATATTAATAATTGCCTAGACTATTTTGGGGGTTCCTTACGATAGCTATAGTATAATATACCCCCAAACCCTATTCTAATGATCAAGGCCCTTACATTCGACTCCTTCAGGACGGCGACCTTCTTCTCCTGGGAAAGGGAGACAAACTTCCAGGGCATTTGGCGCATTGCGGGGAGCCTCGCGGCAGATTTACGAGCAGAAAGTTTAGGGTTTAGGGTTTGCTACGGGGTTTAGGGTTTAAGGTTTAGGGTTTAGGGCCAACGGCTTGTTTGTTGGGGTGAAAGGAGACGAAACGCCGTGGCAGATCCGCAGAAATCCTCTACGCATGAAACGTCTCGAAGCCAAATCTTCAACCCCGACACCTGCCCTTGCTAGGGCTTAGAGCCTTCATGTAGCATGCCTCCCCCCATATTAATGATACCTGTCCTGTGAAACTCCAGGCTATTGCTTGCTCATGCACGTCGACGCCTTCCGCGAGGGGGCCAAACATTTGGACAGTCGGAAGAGCCGGCAGCCGGGACAGACCAGGGTGGCTGTGAAACCCCCAAACCGCAAAAGCCTAGGCCCTAGATCCCCTTACAACGTTTTGGGTTGGGGGAGGGTGGATTTGGAGTTTCAGCTTCAAGTTTGAGGGTTTTCTTGGCATTCTGGCTTTCGAGGTTTCGAACAAGACAATCGATAATAGCATTCGTGGTCGAGAACTTGCGATCCCCAAACCGTACACGCCGGTTGCTGCGGCCTGTTGACGTTTAAGCCGACCCCAAGCCAGTATCTGAAAGTCTGAATACTGGTAGTTGTATTCCCTTTGTGGTCCCGTATCATGTGAACATAGTATACCCCACAGCCTTGTTCGAATAAGTGAGGCCACTATATTCAACCCTTGTAGTAACGCTTACAGAAACCCTGAGCAGAGGAACCCTGTTGAAACTGTCAAGACCAAACCCTAGCCCTTCTAGAACCTTCCCGCTGAGGTTGGGCAAGGTGTCGCGATCACGTCGAGGCCGGGCGGCGCTGTTAGACATGTCAGACAGTAGGTCCTTGGAGTTAGTCTCCGCGGTTCAGAGAACAGATTAAACTCAATAGTACATATATATATATATATACACATGTATGTACACACATACATGAATACATACGTACATACACACACACATACATACATACATACATACATACGTACATACATACGTACATACATACATACATACACACACACATACACAAATACACACACACATACATACGTACATACATACATACATACGTACATACATACGTACATACATACATACATACATACACACACACATACACACATACGCACATACATACAACTGTACACGTGCACACACAGACACACACACACACACACATATATATATATATATATATATACATATATATACACCTACATGTCTACATACATACTTACCTACATACACACATACATGACCTACCGTCGTATATGTACCAGTATGTGTGCGTGTATGTGCGATTAGGAAACATGCATAAAAACATACGTAATATTCCTAAACCCTTTACCCTACGTAATCCCCCACCCAGAACCCTGAACCCATTTGAACCCTCAACCCGGAGCCCTTACTAGGCCCGTGTCTTCGAATGTTTCCTGTTCAAAGGTGAGGCGTGGTTCGACCGAGAGGTTCAGAAGCTCTGCGAGGACCCGGGCTTTCAGGGCTTGGAACTTTGGGGTGTTTGGGGTTAAGGTTTAGGGTTCAGGTTTCGAGGTTCCTATAAACGATACTACTTACTATCAGGGCTACTTTAAGGCGTGTAAAAGCTGGAAGCAATGGAAAGGCGAGACTCCACGACAATGGATCTTGCTGTTGGGTGCTGGAGACGAAATGTCGTTTGCACACGGGACTTGCGGAGGAGTCCATCTGATAGATGGGGATTGCAAAGCTGGCGCAGCGTTGCTGCTTGCAGAGACAAGCCGGGTGGGTTTGGGCTTGATGGTCGGTCGGACTTGCAGTGTTCTTGACTTTGTTGCCCTTGTCATCCACCCATAATCTAAGAACGTTTGTGGAATCGAGCACCCTTGCATCAGGAGGGCCGCGACTGCGGAGAGGCGCAGGCACCAACTTTTCTCATGCGGCATGGACTGCAAAACTTGCTCGGGAATCCGGGAGGGAATGGTCACCCAGCCTTTTGGTTTGGGGTTCAGGGCATGGCTATCGTTAGCAGACATCTTAGCGCATCAATGCTTCCCGGCTTGAACTACAAAGCCTGTAGATGCCAGTAGACTAGCTATTGCCAGCTGACCTGTACCTACGAGTCGTTTTATCTTAGGACCGACTGTGGAGTCAATGTCAGAGTAAGTAAGACCACTGTGAACTCAGTAGCTCAGAGCAATCTCGATGTTAGCAATCTCCTGCTGGTTCCAGCCTAGGCACCTCGTAGGCGAGCTGTTCCCGATCTGGACAGATATGCCTGGAGCCCAGTTGACAGATCTGTTTCGATGTGCCCCTGAAACCAAGGATTAGCCAGAGTTTTAGGGTTGGTCAGTGAAGGGACAGTTGCTCGTAGGCCTCAAGGGTCCTAGCTAGGCCTCTTGTGGCTCAAAGTAAATCTGGCCAGCAGTGACTCCTGAACCGGGGTTGCCTATGCGATCCGCTCTAATCATATTCGGAACCCTGCCCCTCGGGAGTGGTATTCTGGATTTGGCTCACTTCGAGATTCGTTTGGGCAGATTGTTCGAGAGTCTTCGGGTTTCGGGATGCGCAGTTGCGAACTCGGCTTGGGGTTTAGGAAGTTTCAGGGATGGATGAATGGGGCAAACCGCCTTGCATCAACGCCAACCAGCACTGCTGCTTCTCCCCACGCAGGCCAGTCCGGAAAGAGTTGGAGACGATCAGACAGGTACGTGACGTAAACCGTCAAATCAAGATCCCAAACTCACCACTTAGGGCCCCTTTGAATCTTAGGCGTAGTCTTCTCTTCGGGTGGTTTTGGCTGGGCGATATAGGATTTCCCGTGCGAGGTCACCGAACATCATGACCTTTCGGTCTACGACCTTCAAAGGCCACGGGGCACACATTTCGGGCATGGCTACATTGAGGAACCGCAGAGGAACCCCCTCTGATGGCTACCCACTGACGCATCCCAGAACACATCTTTCAAAATTGTAGGGCCACCTCCTCCCCAAGCGCCGAACCTTAATCCGAGAGCTCCGAATCCCAAGCCCCGCCCACCCCGCAAGCAGAAAGGTACCTCTGTCGATGAAGCACACTTGAAGCTGTGGGGACTGGTTGGGACGTTCTGCCAGAAACCGGTCGGAGAACGCAGAATCGTGGTTACGAGTTACCTGAGATTGTATGTTCCGGTGTGACTGGTAATGACTGCAATGGGTGACAAAGACACTCCGAGTCTCCGAAGCCATGCAGCCCGCATCCTAACTTCATGCGAAGACCGTCAGGCAGTCAAGCCAGAGGCTCGCAGATTTCAAGGTGTAGCGACGCAAGTACCGTCATTTTGGGGCACCGAGCAAGAAGCAACTATATGAGCGACCGTCAATATTATGAAACAGCAGACTTATATTAGAGCGGACACGAGATAAGCATAAACCAATCCCTCCCAACATAGGCTTTGATCTGTCACCGCCCTGCTCAGGCGGCCCCTGAGGCTGTGATGATCCCTTCACCCTAACATAAGACGGTTTAATTCCTGATTGCGGGTCCGTTTTTTTTTTTTTTTTTTTTTGGGGGGGGGGGGGGTCACGGGGCATCCGGGTACCCCAAAGTTTTTTTTAAACCCAAAGCCTTACATAGTTGAAGCCCTATAAACCCTAAACCCACAGACCCTAAAGCCCTCTTCCTTTCGGTTTAACACGACTGTAGTTGTTTTGGATTAACTTTCGAGTGTGGGCCTGAAGCCGAATTTTGATGCAGCTCCCAGTGCACTTGAGAAAACATGCCGCAAACCCTAAACCCGAACCCCCAAACCCTTGCGTTACTTTCCCAAACCGCTCGCCAAGCCCGCCTGCGAGGCTTCGTCGACTATGAGGGCTCAGAAATCTGCGCAGAGCCATGGCTCTGCTGGGTGGAGTTTCATGGGGCAAATAGAAGGGGCTTGAATGAGTTACCAATATGTTTCGTTGGGTTCCTTGTGATAACGGTAGTGTGATATGACCCGTCAACCCTGTAGTGTACTTTTGTTGCAGAGTATCAGAGTCTAAAGGGTTGGTTGAGGGTAGGATCTAGGGAGAGAGGATAGATATCAACGTCAGTGCTTGGCTGGTATTCTCGATTTTGGTGATGCTCGTGCGCTCGCGGTGATGACTACTTATGATAGAATCTGGTAGAAGAGCAAAACCCGTCCAAGAAACGAGACAACCACAAGAAGCCATGGCAACAGGAGTGACGACCTTAACATCAACATCATATAACCGCCAGCAGCAGCAAGAACAGCAGCAGCAACAGGAACGGCAGCAGCAGCCGCAACCGCAACGGCATCGCAAACCGCACACCACACACAGCGCCAGCATCAGCAGCAGCAACAACAACAACAAGAACAACAGCAAGTACAAATCGCAGCCAACAACAGCACAGCCTTTCCACTCGTGTTCCACGTCCCACTGTTCCTCCTGCTTCGGATTCAGATTGCCTCCTGCTCGCTTGGGATTGATCATTGCTATGCTTTGTTCATGCTGCCTCGAGGATAAACATCACAGGAGCCAACCCCACAAGTTTTAAGGCTCGCCTAGTCCACCATGAGCCCCGACTCGGGACCTCAAGCCCCAAGCCCTGAACCCCAACTAAAAACATACCCTAGACCCCAAACCCCAAAACCATAAATCCAAATCGGACGCCGCAAACTGGAGCCCGTCAGATCCCCTAGGATTCCTTGTAGGGTCCCGTCTAGTAACGTTCATAGGGTTTTTAAACTTGTAAATTGCAGCACTGGCAACCCTTCTATTAATCCTTAATTGTTGTAGCAACCCTTACATTAGTCACCGCTGCAATACCTTATAAGACCTTAGAATGCCTCATGGGTGGTTGTCAAAATTAGGGTCCGTTTCTGGATGCCCTAAATATTAGGTGCCGTATTATAATAGGGATCCAAAAAGGGACCATAATTGTGACAACCACCCTCATAACCATCACCATGATATGTTAAACTCAGGAGCCAATGTCCGAAAGCGAGCGGCCCCGGATGTCCGCTTTCCGGCCGAGGAGGCCTCCTTTTTGGGATTTAAAGTCTGGGGCTGAGGGTGGAGGGCTTAGGGGTTTTAGGGCTTAGGGTTTATGAAGGGTTTAGGTTTGGGGCTTGGGGGGTCAGGGTTTCGTTTGGTTTTAGGCTTCGAAAAGGATCACCGTAAGTTGTTGTCGATCTAAAGGATCTGGTTTGAACTGCTGGTTGTTTAAGTCTGGGGATGTATTTCGAATCTCAGCTTCAGATGTCTGGTTTTCTTGCAAAAGGGTGGTTGGAGGCTCTGAATCCAGATGCTGCAAAGCCATATCCAGGACAAGGAGGAGCCAGTTAGACGCCATAGCCCGGGAATCAGCTACACCAGCTAGGGCATCTACTGTTGGGGCCCACCACATACGATGTTGGGGGTTCCTTAGTAGAAGTATGGCATAATGGCCCCAGAACCCTGTTCCAATTATTCAGGCCCCTACAGTATACAATGCCCGGAACTTACAAGGACGCTGCTCGGCCGTCGCACTACGCACGTGGTGCAGCCCTTTCTGTCCAAGACCTGGGGATACCGCGAGTCGGCGACAGTTGACTCATGGCTTGTTCTCCATGAGTTTTTGCTTGAAGATGGGAGTGAATCAACATGAGCATCGGATTCTCTTAAGTCGTACACCAATTGCAGCGGCATGAAAACATGGAGCTGGCTTCCCAGAATAATGGACCTGGTGGCAACGGCAGAAGAGACAGCAATGGTTTCAATGTTAAGCCGATCAGCCCCAGTAGCCACGACGATGCCTCAACAGAGGTGATGCCCTGCTCCTGCTCCTGCTACCTCTGCCGCTCTTGCTGCCTTTGCTGCCGCTGCTACTCTGTCTTCTCCAAGTAGCACCACCGCAACCAGTGGTGCCCGCACGACTGCAGCAAGTAGTAAATATTGAAATATCCGATTGTTGCTGCTGCTGTTAATACTGCCGCGTGCCATCTTGTATCCTGCAGGTAGGCGCCGACCGCTCGTCAGGGCTTGGAAGTTTCCCTCAGGATAGCTAGAGTTGAACAGTTTTAGCAGGTAAATCGAATGATTACAGGAATCGGGGACGCATTGTCTTCGACCTATTCTCAATTTTTTAATGAGTAAGATCCACAGTGGTTACTTGATCGGCTGCGATTGTAAGGGTAATGGCGCTAAGACTTAGTGAGATCAAGTCTGGGGCTCTTCGTTTTGAGGTCTGAGGTGCAAGTTGTTGGGGTACGGCTCTGAATCGGTGGTGCAGAGAAAGGCTATCATTCAGGAGGAAAGGGTTTCAGCTCTAGCTTGATCTCGAAGGTTTGAGGTTCAATGTGCAAACTCGCGTACTCTAAGGATCTGAGTGCAAAAGAGCTCAACCTCAAGTCCAACGAGCTCCTTGGATGACCGACCCCGACCCAGAACGCAAAACAAGATCACGAGGGTTCAGCAGCGCGCAGACTGGAGGGATTACTACTGCTGCTGCTATACTAGCATCTACTAGTCTAGTACTACTAGTAGTAGTCGTAGTAGTAGTAGTAGTAGTAGTAGTATTAGTAGTAGTAGTAGTAGTAGTAGTAGTAGTAGTAGTAGTAGTAGTAGTAGTAGTAGTAGTAGTAGTAGTAGTAATAGTAGTAGTAGTAGTAGTAGTAGTAGTAGTAGTAGTAGTAGTAGTATTAGTAGTAGTAGTAGTAGTAGTAATAGTAGTAGTAGTAGTAGTAGTAGTAGTTGCAGGCACGCGCATGTGATCTTTACGGCCTTCTGTCCACAGCATGAGTAATCCGTGTGGGACGCCACGAGACGGATACTCCAGGTGTCGGCTTCGTCTGAAGTACGGCCTACTTGCTGGGACAGGTGCACAGACGGACGCGTCTGTTCACAACAAGGTGTCGGAGGAGGAAGCCATAGTTGCAACTTAGTAACTGAGTAGACTGAGCAGATTGAGAGGTCTGAGCGATGAATGCTAGCAGCAGTTTCACGAGTGCACGAGACCAAAGGCGCCCGCAAAGCGCAGAGCACGCTCGCGCAGCGTTCAATTGAAAAATAGTAGTAGTAGTAGTAGTAGTAGTAGTAGTAGTAGTAGTAGTAGTAGTAGTAGTAGTAGTAGTAGTAGTAGTAGTAGTGCTAGTACTAGTACTACGACGACGGCTGCTACTACTAACTACTAACTACTGACTAAAAGCTCCTTCCTAATTACCAACGACTACATGCTAGCTACTAACTACTAACCGTTGACTACTAATGTCTAAATACTTTAACTCTTAACTGCTATATGCTGACTACTTACTACTCACTACTACCTACTATCTAGTAGCTACTCGCTAGTAGCAACTAGCTACTAACTGCTAACTACTAGCTACTGAGTACTATTTACTACTAGAACTACTGCTGCTGCTACTACTACTTCTGCTGCTACTACTACTACTACTACTACTACTACTACTACTACTACTCCTGCTCCTGCTCCTGCTCCTGCTCCTGCTCCTGCTCCTGCTCCTGCTCCTGCTCCTGCTGCTGCTGCTGCTACTGCTGCTACTGCTACTGCTACTGCTACTGCTACTGCTACTGCTACAACAACTACTACTACGACCACTACTGATACTGCTACTGCTACTGCTACTACTACTACTACTACTACTACTACTACCACTACTACTACTACTACTACTACTACTACTACTACTACTACTACTACTACTACTACTACTACTACTACTACTACTCCTGCTACTACTACTACTACTGCTACTACTACTACTACTGCCACTACTACTACACACAACTTACTACTTCACTACTTCACTACTTACTACTTACTACTCACTACTTCCTACTTACAACTTGCTACCTACTACTCGCTACTTACTACCTACTACCAGCTGCCATACTAGCTACTACCTATTACCTACTTACTACTTTCTACGTAGACGACAACGATGACGATGACGACTGCCTAGACTACGACTTCGACTGCTACGACTCTTACGTTTGCTACGACGACTATGACGAATCCTCAGGCTTTGGCTCTTTCATGGCACCCGTGAGTCAGCTGCAGAGTCGATCACGGAGAACGAATTCCAGGTCTTCTGAAGTCTTGCGGCAGCCACTTTTCATGGGGAAGGGTAGGAAGTTGGAAGGCAGGCTCTTTGTAGACATTTTGCTTGGAGGATATTCTCGATGGGAGTTTCGGGAAATGGGAGATCCTAGTTGAGACCTTAATTGCAGAAACGTTAACGTAAGCGAGGCCACTAGTTCTGATCCCCAGATGTTGAAGACCCTCACCAGGAAGGCTACACACATCTCGAGTATCGGATTTGAAGTGTACGCTGCGTGGGGCTCATGTTCAACGCAACCTCTTATGACATACTTCTTAGTAGCGTCTTAAAAATTTTTTCGCTTCATAGAAGGGTCCTCTAGAGAGGGTCAGGCTAAAGCTTCAGGCCTTTGGAGTTTTGCTTGGAAATTCGGTGTTTCGCAAAACGCAGGGTTGGGTTTAATAGTTTGTGGTTGGGGCCGGTTTCGGCCTTGTTGAGGATGGGTTTCCACAAGTGCGCACGCCTCCTTTTTGCAGGTTTGGATCTGCGGGCAGGGTACAGCCCACTGGAAACAATGAGTATGTGTTGAATCCTACTGCGATCCTTACCATGTCCAGACGTGTTTGGCACGGCGACAGCTTGTCAGAAGATGCCTCTTTCTGTCTGATTCCCTTGGTTCCTTAAGCCTGATCTCTGTTGCAGTTGAAGATGGCGGGCACAAACCGTGGGACCATGTTTGGCCCGGGGATCTACATGGCCGATGCGGTGCGGGCCACAGTACCTGCAGAGGCCGCAACTTGCTACAGCCACCGGTTACCACAAAGTTCTTCCACCGGCAGCTGCCAATCCTAGATGCTGCATGAATCCTGGGTAGACTTTGGGGCTTCAGGATGGTCTTCCCGCCTCTCAGGGTTGGGAATGGTGCAAAGTCTTGACTCTGATACCCTACACCTGCTTCCACAAGGTCACGAAGAGCGACGCGCCTTGGCCCAAGCAGCCGAGGTTCAAAGATCCACGAAACAAGTGTCGACCCCCTGGCGACAAGATGAGTTGATGAGTTCAAGACTGTAGATATCAGATCAGGGGTGTTGCCGACCGGCCTTCCTTTTACACCCTACAGCCATAACTTCTGGCAGTTCGATCACTTCAGCGATCCTGCCTGCGAATCCTAAGTACGAGGTGCCACTTAGGCAGTCCAATTGTGTTACTTGCTGTCCATGTTGGGGTCCCCAAGACAGTAAGTACGTCACTCTTGTTATAACAGGGGCCTTGAGAAGGGATCTGCATCGAAAGGACCGCCTCAGTTGCAGGTACGTGCTGATTCACAACATAAGGGAATGTAGGGCAGATCCGATTCGTTCTGGTCACTGGTAAGAGCTCCAATCTCGGTAGATGTAAATATGATGACCGAGGAACTTGCGTATAAGCCCTCGACCACTATACTCTGAAGCCTTTGCACTAAGCAGCAAGTAAGGCTGGGACTTCAATCTCCAATCACAATCCCTGAGCTCTGTCAGTCCCGAATTCACAGCAACAAGGCCTCAGGCTGCAAAGTAAACGCCCCAAGATCCTGAAACCTGAGATTCAAAATCCCAGAGCCCTCAACAAACAATAGCACCTAGGCGCCCAGAGCATCCAAAACAAACTCCGCCTTAAACTCTAGACGTTGCAAAAACGGATCGAACGTCGAAACCCCAAACCGCAAAGCCCTACTGTTGATGATATGAATCCTGCACTATCTTAAGGACCCTAAACTATGGGAACATGGTATGGTCCTTATTATTGGTCATGCAGATTTATATCATCAGCCGTAGCACAGCCCTTTTCCTTCAATGAAACTCTAAGGAAGGGTCATGGGACTTAGTAACTAGGGTTATTACTGGGGTAACTATACTTATAACTGCTTATAGCCCCAATTGAGGGACTTATAACTGTAGTTACTAAGTCCCATGATCCTCCAAGTATTATATTACCCTTAAAGTAGCCCCTTATAGACCCCTTTAAAGGAACCCTATTCCAACCATCAAACGGCGCTAGTTAGGAGTACACGGAACCCGATCCGACGGGACTTCGGACGATGATGCCGGGCGATGAAAGGTTTTTGAGACGGCTGCATATAGGGGCCTAAGTAATTACTAATACTATTTTGGTGGCTCCTTATTATAATATTTTGGGGTTCCTTGTTACAAAATTTTGGATTCCTTATTATAATAGTTTGCGGGTTCCTTATTAGAATTACAGTAGAGTGGGCCCCAGAGCCCTATTCTCATTCTTGAGGCCCCGATATCAGGGGTTGCCGGGGGCCCCGGGTTTCGCCCTTTTGGGGGTCCTCGCGGGCTTCGAGGGTCTGGGGCTTAAAGCTTAAGGGTTTAGGGTTCAGGGTTTAGGGCTTGCGGGTTCAGGCTTCTTTGCCATCCCTGAGGGGTGGAGTAGCATACGGCTTTGGGTTCTTTTTTTGGAATTTTGGGGGCTCGCGCTTCGGGCTTTCATGTTCGGGTGCGGTTTGGAGTTTCGGTGTTGAGGGATTTTTGCTTTTGGTCGTTCAGGCTCGCAAACGAATTGGAATCACCTCGAGACCTAAGTCCCAAAATCATCAAACCCTTTCCCTGCATAGGAACCCGACACCGTTCTTGCCTGTAGTAGCAGCAGGAATAGGCGTACGCATGGGCGCTGACTCGTAGGAGGAGGGCAATACTGGCAACGACTTGCTGACTAGCAATTATAAACACTTAGCCACACAGTGAATTCTGGTGCGTGCTTCCCCACCTGGACGCCAAAACCTCACTTCAAAATCAGCGACGAAACCCGGACCAGTTTGAGGATCCTTTGTCGCTGCACCATGGGCCGAGCAATCAAGCAGTTTGAGGGGGGGCGCGAGTGCATGAAGGCGGCTGAGAGGGAGGTCATATTTTGCGGCTTTAGGGGTTGGGTTTGGGCCGCATGAGGGTGCTTTATGAACTTACTGAGGAGCCGTATTTGGGTTGACACTTGGGGGGGCTGTAGTGAGATAAACTGTTCAAACCCTCGTTCTTTAACGACCAGCTGCAGCAGCACCACATCCACCGCACACTGACCGTGACACACACACACACACACGCACGCAAACATGTCTATCTATCCGCATCTGAGGACCCAGTGTGTGTTCAGAGGCTTTTGCACGACACCCTTGCGAATTCGGCGTAGCAACTACTCGAGTCTGGTGGGCTTCACACCAGGAATTGCATTGTTTGTGTAACTGCTGCGGGTCTGTTATGACTACCTCTATCCATCGTCTGATCATAATTCTGGTTCTGATGATGGTTATGTCAATGCGGGTATGTTGACTATGTGCGCCACCTTAAACCGGTTGTCCACGGAAATCATATTGATGTTTTTTCACAGCATAGTCATTGGGGATTCACAACGACTATCTCGTCCCCTGACGGTTCCAGGTTCTTGGGTCGACTTCCGGGCGTCTGGTTGACTAGCGGTGAAACCCATGTGCAGGCAGCTGGGGTTGACTGATGGTCGCCTGGGTCGACATGGGGCGGTCGCCAAGTATGATCATTAAACCTATAATGAAGCCTCGAATGAAAAGACCCCTAATTTGGGGCCCATACTACCAAGGATACTTTAATTATAGGAACCCCCATTAAGGGATCTACTTTTTGGATCCTCCCCCTGAACAGAACACCTAAACCCTTCAAGAGGCCTGCCATGCTGGTGGCTTCCACTCCGTCAAAGGCCTTCGTGCGTACAATGCCCCGTCCTCGGCCGGAGGGTCATCCTACGTAGTATAGTACATTAAATAATAGGACCCTTATTATAAGAACCCCAAAATAAGTTACTCAACTTGTGCCAGTCTTGTAGCCAGGACCTACTTGTCAACACCCAAGAACCTTGAAACGGCGCTGTGTTTGGTTTTCGGAGGTTTGGGTGCTAGGACCTAGGATTAGGACCAACACCAGTTGCCTATGTAGTTATGCAAGCTCCGCGTCCCAACCCGCCTCCCCAACATTCTCCGTACTGTACTCCAAACTGGTCTAGCAAGATCACATCAAGGGGCTATCCTTTCCCCATGCAACAACAAACAAGGGGCACTGCTATCTACGATGCCATGATTTCCATGGTTAGTACCTGTTACCATAATACTAGCTTACTAGATACTCGTACGATCACGATTTCGGCTGCCTGACTGAAGGGTGTAAGAGTTTAGCCCCTCCGATTGCAAGGAGTACATTGTTTACGTGCCTCAGACGCATCGAAAGCGCACCTGCAAGTTTCGTGCTTCCGTGTCTGTTTTTTTGACTTGGGAAGTGATAGGTGAGCCGATGAGAGATTCGGGTGTTCGGCTGCTGGCTTCGAGAGGTTGCATTTTTGATTGCAGTCTTGTGTTCCAGCGATAACTCCCAAACCCTAAACCAAATCATATTTGTATGGGCCTGATATCGGGCAAGCATCATGAGGACGAGAACCAGGTGTACGCAGAATACATAATCTGGTACCGCCGCGTGTACAACATCGAGTGATCTCGGGAGACGCGTCGAGACGGCATTTCGGGGGCAGTGAGGGCAATGTTGGAGACGAGTTGTTTCGGGAGGCCCCTGGACCTTAACAGCCTGAAGTCTAAACCTTAGGCCCGAAGTGACTCCCTACTGAAAGCAAAAACAAGCGTCTAATTTGTCTGATCCATCGCTGCTTCGCCAAACCCAGCCCTCAAGGACCTCCACAAAAAGGGCAACAAGAGCTTGTCCATTTTATGTCGAAACATTGCCCATAGTGCCCGGGCGGTCTAGCTTTCGGCACCTCGCTGGAAGCAGGTGAGGCCCTCATGTTAATGGTGTACTTAGACGTGCTAGGTTTGTGGGGTCTCTCCGAGGCTTCCGGACAGAAATTGCAAGCCCAAGCCCGGAACGACAGCGCAAGCCTGTGAACCAAAAACGACAGTGCAAGCCTATGAGACACCCCGCATGCATTTTCAATCCCCATGTGGAACATGCCGCCCACCTCCTGCGAAGCAGAGATCGCTGACCTGTGTTTGCGAACCGGGCGGGCATGATGTTGATATGGCTACTAAACTCTCGATGAGGTTGTTGTGGTCTAGTGACGGCCTTGGTTTCTAGCAGTGTGTGAGAAGCTAGGATTGTGTTTGCGGCTCTGGCCCCGATAAGACCCTGTCATCTCGAGAGTGTCAGTCTAGAGAATTTCAGTGCCATGAAGACGGACGGCAGTGTCTCCAAGAGGTGGCCAAAAGGGCAGGATGTAACTATGAGTGTAGACTCCAGATCGCATGGCACCAGTACACCACTGGTTTCATTGAATGCCCAGAGATATGTAATACAGATTGTTGTGCGAAGTCTTTTGCACCAGGCTTGCATAGTGCCCTCCCTGCAAGCGCATGCAGACTAAAATCGAACAGTCCGATTCGTAGGTTCATGCAGGAGAACCCACCCGAACTCCAAACTTACACTCAACATCTACGAACGATGAGCAGCAGAACATGAGGCTCCGAATCACGAGCCGGTTCCTCACCCTGTTCCTCATGCTGCTGCTTATAACTATATCTGTAGAGTTTATACAGTTGTACAGTTGTGTATATGTCATGTATATGTACATGTACAAGCATGTACAAAAGTATATTGTTATAGATGTGTACATACATTACAAATAAAAGATATATACATACATACATACATACATACATGCATAGATGTACATACTTTTTTGCGTACATGCATACATGCATAGATTCATTCATTCACATGCATACTCATACTCGTGACATCTGTCACTGTTTGAACGGATAATGACTGATATGGCAGGCTGGGCGACTGAATGACCGCTGCATCGGCTGGTGCGCCACTCCGGTTTGACGTGCTCTAGCGGTCCGGGGCTTGCGAAGGGCGATTGGGATTCCAGTACTTAGCCCGAACAGGCGAAGATCTTGAATATGAAAGGCAGGGTGATGCAGGCTGGTGTTCCCTGCACTGGGGGTAGGGGCTTTGAGCGACAAGTATTCGTGCAGACATGCTCTGCTTCCCATGTTGCATGATCTCCCAAGCGCAACGTGTTCTTGCTGTCAGTTTGGATCAGAACACCACGTGCAACGTGGACCCCTCAACTTCAAGATGACACAGACCTACGGACAAAGCGAAAGGCCCCCCAGGATCGACAAAGGGATTTGAACTTGAGACTGCAGCTGCAAATATTATGAACTCTTGGGCGCGAAATAGCAAACAAGTTCGCGGCGAGGCTGCAGCTGCCACGGGTGCATGGATCCAACCATAAAGCCACATCTTGTAACACAAACTAGGCTTTGGAGCGGATTTAGACGTGAGCCCCGTGGTAATCCGGCACATGGGTGCCGCGGTTCAGGGAGTGCAAAGTTGGATGAAAGCAGCGTGTGGGCGCCGTCAGCCAACAGGGTCCTCCGATCGGAGTGGTCGTGCCGTCCGCGGAGTCCGATCCGCGCCTTCGGGGCTGCCTCTTGTGGAGCAAGGTAATCAGGTAATCCTTAACCTCCTTTTAAGTTTGGGTTTGTAGATTGTTGGCTCTCTTACATTCAGCAAAGACTTCCTTCAGTTTTGAAAGGGCAAAACTCGGCAAGTAAGGCCTTCAGCTGAGGAGCTGAGCGACAGGTGGCTGCTAGCAGTGCAGGAGGAGGATGCAGCTGCTGCCGGCTACTGTGCACGGCTCTGCGAGACCCTGCGGGGTGCAGAAGCCTTTGCAGAGAGCGACGGCCTGGATGCCTTCATTTCTGTGGCAATGGGCCAGTCAATGAAGGGCAACGGTGGCTTGATGGTGGCCTTGGCTCAGGCATTGGCAATGGACATGACACCCTTCAAGGAGGCGGTCTTCGAGACGTTGTGTGCTGCGGCGCAGTGGCCATCTCTGAAGGGGCGTATTGCCGGGTCAGGTGTCCTGGGTGTGATTACAGCCACACTGCTCTCGCCGCGGCACCCGGCCACAGTGAAGGCGCTCATGGTAAGGCTCTGTGGCCTTCTGGCTGCAGACTCGCTGGAGGCCATCAGCCTGGGCGATGCCCGACGTGCTGAGGAGTTTTCGAAGCTGAGGGGCCAGCTGATTTCATCCGGTGGAATCAAGGCCATCGTGGCCCTGTTGGCAGCTTCTGAAGGTCCGGCCGCCGCCGCAGCTGCCACAGCAGTCGTGCAACTCGCCTTGGCAGGGGATGCTGCCATCCGTACCGAGCTACTACAGGCAGACGCTACCACGGCACTGCTCCGCTGTGCAGCTCGTCTGTCAAAGGCCGGGACGGAGGAGATGTCTGACAGTGACGCAGAGACGGAGGAGGACGCAGCCCCAGAGGCTGCAACAGCTGCGCTTGCCCGTCTCTTGGCGTTTGACGGCGACGGCTGTCAGGAGACTGGGCATGTTGAGCAATGAGTGCATTCTAACGAACACTGACCGCAACAGAAACAGCATAGGAAGCTGCTTTCAGCGAAACTGTACTGTAGCAGCTCATGTGTATCGTCCAGGCCATGCAAGCTTCCCATGTCACTTTGCCCGAGAGGAGCTCTTGGCGCCGGTACTGGAGCCCGGTGCCCTCAAGGACTTTTGCGAAGCATTGCACAGCAACGGCCAGCGCAGAGCATTGGAGCAGGTCCTGCGATGCTTAGATCTGGCAGGGTCCCGGCACGATGCCTGGCCTGCTTTGCAAAAGGATCTGTGCGAGGACCTTCGGAAGATGCTGGTCCTGCACCGGAGCGATGCAGCTGCGGCTTACCTCCAAGCGCTGATGTCCCACTTCGGAGAGGAAGCGACGCTACGCAGCTGCGGCGACCCGAAGTCCCTGCGGCGGGCCCTGGAGCCCCTTTCCGGCCCCGGAGCCTCCGCTCTGAAGGCGACTTTGGGGCAGTGACCGTCGACCGCTTCACGAGCAGACGGAGAAAGTCTCGCTATTCCTGGGCTATCCTCCGACAGTCCGACACCATCAGGCCATCAGGCATCACTCTCTCTCGCGCTCTCTCTCTCTCTCTCTCTCTCTCTCTCTCTCTCTCTCTCTCCTTTGTCTCTGTCTCTACACATGCGCGTGCACACACACACACACACGAATAAATTATGTTCCATGTGGTTACCACTGCGGCATAACAGTTGGCATGATGCTTGAAACGATACGTATCCGTATAGTGAGTGAAGTTTACAAATTCCTGCAGTGCTGGCAAGACAGGGATAACAGCGATAGATAGAGGCAATAAATCCTTGAACAAACCTGCCCGGCAAATTGACCAATCGTGCTTGTGTCTTACGAGAAATGTCGTAAGCTTCTACTGGCCTCCAACCTTAATCCTCAAACCTTAAAGTCCCAAAGCCCTGAGAACCCAAATCGAAAAACCTGAGGCCCTACAACACCAACCCTGAACCCCCAAGCCCTCCTAGCCTTTCACATCAAAGATAGGGGGGCCCTTCTTGTCCGAAGCTCCCAAAAGTTGCCAGGTGTCGCCACCCAAACAGCGAGAAATGGTCGGGACAAGTGCTCCTGCAGAACATCACGCAGGTGCCACCGGGTCGTGGAGGAGGGTGGGGAGCATGGATTTGTGGTTAAGGCTATAGGGGTTTCGCGCGGTTGAGGTTTACGGTTCAGGGTGATGGGATTTGGGAGTTTCCGAAAAGAGGGGATCCCAATTTTGTACCCAAAATAGTAGGATCCTTATTATAAGGACCCCAAAATAAGGCATCCCTAGTTTTCGGAAACTCCCATTTGGGGTCCCCGGGTTCATGGGAGAAGGGATGGATCTACCGCAGGGTTCATGCTGGAAGTCTTTGGGTTCGGCGAGAATCGGTTTTAGAAGGGTTCAGTAGAGATTTAGGTTGACGTAAACAGACAAGTACAGCTGAGTGAGAACACATGTACGGTGTATCTGTGGTTTCAGAGGGACGTTCGAGCAGTGCCTCGCAGACTTGTTCGGCGAGTTTTGAAATTGACTGCCAGCGGAAACGGTGGAGGGAGTGTCCTTCCAAACCCTAAACTGCAAACCGAAAGGCCTGGAAGAGTTTTGGGACGTAGGTTTGAGATCTCAGAGAAACGGAGGAGCTGGGAGACTGTTCCGGCACCTTGCTTCAGACGGAAGCTCGACATGTAGACTACTAGTATTATTTCTCAGGGTTCCTTCCTTCCCAATATACTACAATGTACCCCAAAACCCGGTTGTAATTGCTGAATGCTTGCCGGCTTGGGTTGGAGGCACGACCAGCATCCCTAGGGCACCGAAGCCAAGTTCCAAGAAATGGCTTGCCAGGACATAGACACACATGGCTTTGCAAGTAGATGGAGGGTACGTAGGTCGCCAGGGTATGTAGGTGTGCGGTCGTGCTCACATCGCAGACACGAACTGAACTCCGCTTCGCCGCTTTTGCTTTTGAGACTCGGGCCCCCCCCCCCTCCGGTGCTTCCGGAGGTCTTCCCCCCGAGAACGCGGAGTCCGAGAGGCCCTCAGATCCTCCGCCCAAAAACGAAAGCAACAGCCGTTCAAATCCAAACACAAAAATCCCTCGCCAAAGCCCGAGGCCTTAACATGCCGAAGTCACAGCACAACTCTTCCGCGTATAGGAAAGGTTCAGGGTCTAGGGTTCAGACCAAAGCACCCTCCATTCCCAAAACTCTTAACAAGCCCACAACATCACTAAATCCAAAGCAACCCCCTTCTCCCCTGAGCTCCAAACCATATAGATTCGCAAAGCCACTGAAGCATTAGGTTCGAGACCCCAAGCCCCCTCTACACCCCAAACTTCCTTGACCACTCCCGAACTCGACCCATAGTAGAGGCCCTATAGAACCCGTTTAGAGGCGTTGTAGAACCCTGATAGAGCTCTTATGGAGCCATGGTCAGCTGTTGGGTTGGCAGCTTCTCCTTCGAGCTTTGTTGCTCCGGGACCTGGGGTGTCGGCTTGGCGCAGCTCGGGGCGCACCCGGTTTAAGGTTTAGGGCCGAGGCTCCAGCGTTGAGGTTACGTACGATGATTCAGGGTTCGTCTAAGGTTACCGTAACCTCGAATTGGGCGTTTAAGAACTTTGGCGGTTTTTGGTTTAGGTTTAGAGTGTAGGGTATAGCAGGCAGCTGCAGTTTCGGGGCTTGGTGGAGCGTTTAGCGTTTTAGGTGGTCTTGGGCATCAAGGTTTCGGGGGTGAGGGAAAGGAATTCTCGAGGCCTAAATACAACCGGACAATCCCAAAGTCCTCATGTGGACTTTAGGCCTATCAGGCTTACATTCTTGGCAAGATTTCGGGATCCTTTCCTGGAGCCTCAGCTGAGGACAGTATAGGGTTTAGGGTTTAGAATGGCTGTCGTATTATAACTTCGTTACACAAGGCTCACTGGTTTTTAAAACTTAGTGTAAGCTTGGAGTCCAGTTGAGGCTTTCAATTGATTTCGGCCTTCCGGGGTTTAGGGAATTTCGGCCTTCCTGGGTTGTCGGACGGTGGATTGGGTAGGAGCCATCAGTCTTAGGACTATGCGAGGAACGTGCGCCCGCAGCAGACCAGGCACTTTCCCAACCCCCGGTAATGGTAATGATGACAACAATAATATCAGTGAAAATAGCATGCATGGTAAAAATGTCAGATGGTGAGAGACCTTAGCCTGTGGTTTTTCGACGAATTCACAATTCAGGGCTTCGGCCTCTGCGAGCTTAGGATGTTCGGCTTGCGGTCTTGACACTACTCGGAAAGCCAGCCGTGCTGTTTTGACACCACCATGAACAGGGAGTATAACGGCAGAATCCCGAAGATATTCCACCAAAGCCCCAAACCCTTCAGCACCCGAGATGTTGATCCGCATATTGGGCCTTGTTTATAGGTATTCTCGCGCTGTCGACTTCCTTATGCAACCCGTTAATCAAGACTGGAAGGTCCTGTTGGGACGATGCCTTCAATTGGGACAGTTGCTGCGCCTGGCTTAGCATCGGGGATGCCATGGCAATTGCAGCAGTTCCCGAATCGGAGCCAATGCTTCGGCGCTGATGCAGGAATTTCGGGCTGGTTGCTTGGGGGGCTCAGGGAAATTACAGGCTGCACCTCAGGCCAGGTATTTTGGGGCTTATGGAATTTGCAACGAGCTCATTAGTTCTCCATCCGCCCTGGCACATGAACTCCACACCCTACATGCGCCCGAAACAAAAACTTGACAGCTGAGGCGTTCCCGAAATCCAGCAGCGCCTTATCAACGACGGTTGTGACCCCCGGGATGTGGAGGACTGCTGATGAGATTCAGAGAATCCAGCCGCAACTGGAGAACGTAACCCGAACGTTGTTGACGCCGGGTGGATGGGCCATCCGTAGAGCAGTGCAAAGCAACATCTGAGACCGAGGTTTCCGTGACACATTGCTCGATCTGCCTGTATCACGTCATCTATGTATGCATGCATTCATGCATGCATGCAAACGTGAGTCCATGAATCCGTCGACTTGAGCCGCACTCGAAGATGAAGCCCCGGAAGACGCAGAGATATTCTCGAGATTCTGTATGTTTGCTGGTGTTTGGTGGGCTACGTCCCTTACTCCCCTAGATCCCACAACTACGATTCTTGGTTCATTTCGGTTCTTTTTGCTGCTACTGCTCCTGTACTGCTGCTGCTGGTGCTGCTGCTACTGCTGCGACGACAGAGACGACGATCACCGCGACAACTGCGACGACGAGCGCGACCTACTACTCCGCTGCTGCTGCTTCTACGGTCACCGCTCCTGCTCCTGCTACAAGTACTCTTGATCCCGCTACTCCTCCTGTTGCTAGGATCCGGCAAAGCTCCGGAGCCTCTCTGCAGCCTGGCGATGATCTTTTTGGCAATGTGGATCTGAAGCCACTTGCACGGCTGCTGATAAACTTTGATGTGATGCTACTGCTACACGGAGCGCAGAGTTGATGTCCTTATCGGCAGCAGTTACTGTACTAGTTTGGAGGCTGGCAACAGGAGTCCTTCCAGGTTTAAACCCCTGCCATATATTGCAACCTATCCCTACATCCTGCCCCACGCATTTGGGGCCCTGCAGCAAGCTCGCTGCCAAGGAAGAAAAGGGTGTTCAAGGCCGGCAAGCAATGCTGTGAGAGAGGGAGAGAGAGAGAGAGAGAGAGAGAGATTCAGGCCTGGGTGGCCTTGAGTTTCAGAGTGTGTGCTTCTTCAAGCGAGGAAGTCTTTATCACTTGAGCTTCAAGGGATCTTCGCGGGATTTGCCAAAGATATTGTGGTGTTTTGCAACCCCACTTTGTTTCGGGGAGTTTGTTTCCTCGATGTGGCATTGTTCTTGTTTGGGGTTTGCACTCTGCATTCGTCATTCAGGCAGCCATTTGAGGCCGGAGGAGCCGTGTATGTGCAACAGTGCAGCTTGAAATGCATGTATAGAGAAGACATGTTCAAGACGCCTGAAGCCCATGGAGGCATTCTCGTAACGGGCACTGCTACCATGATGAAGCTGTCAAGGCCCGACAATGTACCGACTGGCCACCATGGCAAGTCCCGTGGGCCAAACTTTCCACACGTCGAAGTGGTATGGATATTACATCCGTCGTCGCAGTAGCAGTTGTCGTCGTCATCTTAGTCGTGGCAGTGGTCGTAGTCGCAGCAGAAGGAGCAGGAGGAGTGGTACCAGTAGCAGCCAGTAGCAGCAGCTGTTGCAGTAGTAGCAAGAAATGGAAGTTGGTGCTAATTGCAAATACCTCAGTCGGGACCACAATGAGGCACAGAGTAGCTGTCGCGGTTGTGAGTTGAATTCGACATGGTAGTAGCAAGAGCCATAAGAAGCGCTTTTCCAAATCCTAGCAAAAACTATCACTAACCAACGGAAAGCTCGCAAAGCCCCGATTTTGACGGAGTCCCCTGGAAATCCTGCCGGATGCAAGTGGGGCTCTTCCAAATTATGCTGCTTCTGGTCCCAGGCTTCAAGCTCAACCCCTCTGAAGAGCAGCCCTGTTAGGGTGCCCTTCAAGCTGAGCTACTCGCCTAAACGATCCCAAATCCAGGGAAGGGCAACTGGGAGCAGCTCATTATGGACGCCTCGACGCAAGAGGTTCAGACATTGACAAGGCTTTCGGCTTGAGGGTTCAAGCTGCGTGGGGCGAACCTGCGAACCTGCTAATTAGCTGCTAGGCCGATCCCAAGAAGCAGCGAAGCGCTGGCCCCACAAATATGATCCCGAAACCCTCAACCCTATGCCTAAAAATCCGCATATGAGGCCTTGGAGCATACTTGGAGGACAAGGAGTTCTCAAGCGGATGAAGCGAGGTTTCCAAAGGGATTGTGCATGTCCTGACACAGGAATGATGGTATGATGTATTGAAGCATCTGCAGGCCTACACACGAAATGCACGACCAAAAGTGCCTCGCTGTTGGGTCCCGTTGCCATGGCCCTAGACAGTGGGTTTTGGGCACGCCGAACTCCAAACCCACCGTCAGCCAACTGTGCCCCAACTCCGAAACCCTGCACCCAAACCTTGAAAACCAAAAATCCCTATGCAGGGACTATTTTAAGCCCGAGCCCGCAACATATGTTCTGGCTTGAGGAATGCCTGGATACCTACGACACGCCGGAGAGCAGCGGGGGTGGGGAGTCGGCGTCAGGGCCGTACTCAGGTTCATGGGTCTGCTTGGGTTGAGAGTGAGGCACCTAGGGGCAATTGACTTTCAATGATTCAGGGCTTTAGGGCTGTGGGTCTGGAAAACAGAAATTGCAAGAGCAACTCCAGCACAGTCAAGAGCAGTCCTACTGAGTATGGTCCTAAGGAGGAGGACAGTTTCAGGAACAGCGACAGTTGAAAGCTAAACCGCTTCGCGCATGCACAGGAGAACTTCCGCTTCTTCCGTCGCCACTCGGGCCTGCTGGGACACGACATCGCACACGTCGGTAATCCGGATGCGACCTGGCTTGTGGACTTCAAGTTCTTCAAGTTCAACAGGACTGAGTGTTGGCCTGTGGGTTGAGGGCGGTAAACTTGCACATCGGGGCTTTCCTTGTATCCAGAAAAATTCTTGTTGAAGTTTGGCTTGGGATGGCAGGACACTTGCCCATTCCTAAGAGTATGTCAGAGGCATCGGGTCTGAGGGCTTAGGGGCCATTTTGAGCGTGAAAACGAACCTGACGCCTTGGCCACTGGGCCGGCAATCCGGGAGTTAGAGGAGGCTTTAGCTCAATGGGCATGGGGTCCATTGGCTTAAGGATCATTGCAAGTTCCGCTCACAAGGTCGGTCCGTGATACAAGCATGCCGAAGCTAACGACACAACTGAGGCGGACAAAGACAGACAAGCAGCTAAAGATGAGCAGAAAGGAAGTTACGACCATGGGCGGCTTACAGACAGACTGTGACACAGACAGAGGCCGAGGCCGGACGGAACACACAGGGACGGACAGAAACACAGACCGAGAGACAGAGAGATAGACGGACGGCCAGACGGACAGAACAACAATCAAACAAAAGCCCACCCAAAATATGCAAGCATCGCGAGCGCTATCACACATGTATACTCCACTCACCCAAAGCCGTAAAGCATGTACCGAAACGAGTGCAGTGCTTGATGCAAGTCGCACATCGGAATCTCACACTGCTCTCCGCATGATTGCGGGTTGTGGCGACACGAAAATCCAGAGGCACCCTTTTCAACCAAGTGATGACATTCCCTAAAGCTGCATAGGTTCGGCTTCAGGCCCTGTCAAACTTTCAGGAACAACTTGGAGATCACTCAATGATGCACTATGCACCCTCCCAAGACGTTGTCAAGTTTCTGAGACGTTGCATGCCCATTGACTGGACCTTGGCATGCACCCCCCCCCCCCCATGATCTCTGATGCGCGATGTCACTGCTTGGTATGTCATGTTCGCACGACCGCAGCACGAGAAAACCAGTGACCTACCAGCAGGCGACGGTTCAAACGGTGAATCAAGGCCCAAGCAAGCAGCACGATTCTCCAGCTTTGTTTCAGCTTAGTACGTCAGTAGACGAGGTGTGCACGGCAGCCGGTCACAGCTTCTTCTGGGGCATGCTCGTCTTCCGTTTGGAACAAGCGCCAGGCTACGAGCTTGAGGTTGTTCAGTTTCTGTCTTCCTCGTGTGATGACTACGGCCGTTAGTATGAGTCGTCGTCATCGCGATGAAGTCGTCTTTCGCAGTAGTCGTCGTAGTGGTCACGGTGATGGTAGTGGTAGTCTTAGGGGTAGTAGCAGTGGCAGTAGCAGCAGCAGCAGTAGCAGTAGCAGCAGCAGCAGCAGCAGCAGTAGCAGTAGCCGTAGCCGTAGCCGTAGTCAGTAGTCATCGTCGAAGTCGCAGTCATGGTAGTCGTCGTCGCGGTAGTCGATGTAATCGATGTCGCAGCCGCAGACGCAGACGCAGTCGTGGTCGCAGTGCAGCTGCATCAGGAGCAGGAGCGGGAGCCGGAGCAGCGGCAGGAGCAGTAGCTGTAGAGTGTAGAGCAGCAGTACCAGTAACAGTGGCAGTGGCAGCGGCAGTGGCAGTGATAGTAGGAGGAGGAGGAGGAGGAGGAGGAGGAGGAGGAGGAGGAGGAGACGAAGTCGTGCGGAGTGGCGTCGTAGCAGTCCTGAGTGCCTGCGGCGGCGTTTGACCACCGTACTAGGTCCTAGCGGGAGTGAGATGAGGAGCACGAACAGCAGCAACGGCAACAGCAAGTAGTTACGTGTGCTGATGCTAAAGTGCATAGTTAATGAGTATGGCGGCTGCCATTGTCGTCGCTGTCGCTGATGATGGCAGACGTGGTAGCAATTCTTGCTTCTCTTCGTTGCCTTTTTGGTATTCATTCAACACGTGCAGGTGTTTCGTCGCTTTCTTCTCAATGCTCCAGAAGTTTCATAGCAAAACAGCCGAAGAGAAATGACCGTTCTTGTGCGTGCTTGCTACGAAGTCAGACCGCCAACCAGAACCAGAAGGTCGCACGCAGGGCTTTCTTCCTTCTTGGTTGCATTTTCCTTTGTAAACATTGTCGCAGGGAGTTTCTGTGAAACTCTCAGCCTTGGAGAACCCTAAGGGTCTAAGTGTGCCAGGCTATCCTCCCCGAGATGTGGGGCTGGAGTTCAGCCTCTGCGTGCCCAAGAGCTGCTCCTTTTCAGTTGCGGCTCGGCATAAACCCAAAGACGAAACTCTGCTTGATGTCAGCATCTGTGGCGCCCTGACAGGTGGAAACCATCTTCGTGCCATACACACTGGGGCGCTACCTCGGCCTCAACTGGGGCCCCGAGACCCCGGAAGTCATGTCGAGGCGCAGGGCGCAGATATTCGTGGAAATCTTCTGTTGAATTTCGGTGCCTTCACAATTTAGGATTTGGTGTCGGGGTATATAGACTCGTAACAACAGAATGGTACAATGCTAGGTTTTCGTGATTGACTCTTTCGATAAGGAAATTGACAGAGATTTACGTTTCATACCGAACTTATGCATATAGAAGCTATGATGGCTTTGTTGCTCACTATCACAGCAACGGCCACTACTTTGGAGCAGACACCACAATTATGATATTCGCAAGACATCAGTTGATAATGAGCGACAGTAGTCGATGCAAGGCATTCATTCTGATCGCGCCGAGTACAGTCTCGGCTTCCAGTGCCTTCCATAAAGAAGGCAATTTTCAGAAAGATCTCACTGTCGTGGTTCTACAACAGTAAAAAGTGGTGTTCAACAAAACCAAGGCTCTTGTTCCGTCGCGGTAGCTGCTCTGTGGGCATGACCCAACTCACAAAGTGCACAGGTGGAATGTGGACAAAGCGAATACGATCCCTGTGGAGGACGTGACTCTTGTCGTTTCAGTTGCTCTTCATCTGGTTGTGAGGCTAAGAGCCGAACAACAGCGTTTCGGGGGCTACACGGCTACAGCCATAGGCTTCAGGGTGCGTGCGCGTCCCAGGCCCAGCTCGCCTTCAAATGCATCCAGGTAGCCTTGAGCCCTACACTCGACACCCAACCGTGCCAGGACATGGTGAACCACTTTGTCCACAAAGTCGCGTGATCTGCAATGGTCAGGTCTCGGAGGTTGGTTTCGGGTTTAGGGAGTTGGGGTAGTAGCATTCCCGCGAGCCTGAAGCTGCCAAAGCCCTGCAGTAACACAAATACCCAGGCTAGGACCTAGGCCCTGAATCCCAAGCCTACCCAGGGCTCTTTGGTTCAACAAGTTCGTTTCCTACGCGAGAGAGCCCGGGAAAAATGCAGGAGGAGCGAAGGTTGATGAAGTAGTCCAGTGCCCTCAGTTGACCGCAGTCCTACCCCACTTCAAAAGTAAGTTTCCGAGCCCTGAACTTCCTTCAAACTCTTAGACCCTGAACGCCCCATGAAACCCCAGCTGAGCTTTAAACGTTAAACCTGAACCCGCAGAGCCCAGATTGTGGCGAAGCATCCGAAGGGCCCTGGCGGATGGTATCAGCAGGAGCCAGGGTGGCATGTGATCGAGACACCTTCCATATCCTTCCATACTTCGAAGCAGATTAGAGTCAGGTCTCCAGGGTGTCATAGGCGCTGTTCTTTGTTGATACAGGATGGGCAGTAATATTACTTCTATGTTATGGTCGAAGCAGAACGTGCCCCCGAAGGTGTTTCTGATCTTGGTTCGGGGCCGGCCTGCCATCTACATTAAAATGACGTGGAGGCATCCCCCCAAGTACAGATGTGCTGTCAGAGATGTCAAAAAACACAAACACTGAGCCTGCAACACCCCTTCGCCGCAAAACCCCGTAACCCCTAGGCAAGAAATTCAACAGCCCACAAAGAGATACCCTAAACCCCATGGTGCCGTAAAGGCACGTCTAACCCCAGAGCTTCAGCTCACCTAGCTCGGCGAGACTAGGAGCTTCGACACTCAGAGCCTTGAAAGCCAGAGCCGTACAGGAGTGGCCCTATCGCCAAAAGCTGTGGCAGTACCAACCGAGTCCCTGGACCTGCTGGTTATAAGTTATAGGGGTTTCTGCATTCAGGGAGTGGGTCGACGTTAAGTCTAGGAAGCTAGGGGAGCAGATGGGCTTCAGGGTTTGTGGTTTCGGGATCAAGACATGTCAAGGACGAGCTTCGATAAAACCCGATGCTGGAGTGCCGAAATCAAGGGACCATCATCTGAGGTTATAAACATGATAAGGACACCCGCCCTTGAACGCATCCTGAGGCGACCTCCATCGCGTTTGGTAATTACAGATGTTGTTGCAACAGAACCGGCGAGAAACAAGAATCCAGACCAGCTGCGCTGCAAAGCCTCAATCGCAAACCCGCCTGGATGCTTAACCCGAGCCTTTTGGTCTTCTACATGAAGCCTCAAGACCCAAAGCCGACACCTCCGTCGACCCAAGGCTGGTGGCCAGGGCCCGAGAGCTGTGCGGTGCTCGCTGCACTGGCGGGGCCTCCGCTGGTCGCTGCTCGAATCAATTCAGGGGCTGGAGACTTCGAGCGCTGCGCTGCTACTTGCTGTTGCCGCTGCTATGTGACCCTTGCGATGATGACCACGATAATGATGAGGATGATGACCATGGTCATGATCACTACGGAGATCATGACCAGGTTTGCAGATGAACGATTGCGGGGCCGGGTTTTGAGACCTGCGGATCCTACTTTGCCAGTTTGAAGTCCGAACGCCCGGGGAAACAGGTAGCATACAAATCCCAAGCAGAGACATAGCACAGGCATCTCTTGAAAGTACATCTCTCTGCGCTTTACGTTTCCGCTTGTACTATGCCTTTGTGTGTATTGTGTATGTGTATATGTATATGCAGTATCTCATCATCATCATCATCATCATTGCGGTTCTTGCTGAGCCACTTCGGGTTTGATTTTTTGGGCTTGACAGGCTGGCATTTGCCTGCAGCTGGCAAGATGTTTCGGCATGGGCGGCCGGGCTGCAATGACACGGCGGTATGAGCTCGATTTGTAGCAGTAAGGGATCTCAGGTTCGCTACTGCTAGGATACATCGTGGAGCTTAGCTGTTTTGCTGCCCAGCTCGGTGAGATGTGAATCTGCAGAGTTCGCTTCCACTGGAGCAAGATTATTATTAACACTCTGTAGTGTGCTCGAATTGAAGCATCCCAGGTGTTAGTCTGTGGAGTTGCAAGGTGGCTTCGCATTCAAGTTTCCTGTGCTAGTTACAACCGTGGCTTCGACCCTACTTGTACCAGTAGGTGCTATACCAAACGCCCCAACCTCTATGTTGCCTGAACAGGTGCTCATCACGACAAGGCCGTGCCCAATGGTAGCAGAAGCCTCTTGACAGACCGTGCACGTTTCTGTAATTGCTTTGACGATCGATGCGGGCCATCGAGCACAGCATAAGATGGTACCACCGATCACGAGGAGCTCGATGATAGCAGCAACTCGCAGTTGCGGCTGCATACCGGTTGAGGCTTAAAGTTTCATGTCTTCAAACTTGTGACGATTGTGAAAGCTGCAGAACTTCGTACCTCAGTCCTCAGCTACATCGGCTGGAAATCTTAGCAACGCTTCGTCTGCTCCGGGGGGTATTAAGGTCTGTTTGAATTCTTGTGCGATGGAAAGTGTGGGCACAAGTGATACCTGATTTCCAAGTGATGTAGCCACTTGGTGTGATTAACCGACGGACTAACACCTTCAAGTGTGTCAGTCATAGGCAGCGCCTCGAGCACAAGGACCCTTACGATCATTATCCTATACACCGTTTTTTCCACGATTAACTCGAATAGTCCCCAAACTGGAAACCGAGCCTCCTTCATTTTTGCATACGAGTTACCGATTATGTTTTCGCATTCTTCCTCCAAGGTTCCTGGCTGTACGGCCTACAAACCTTCGCCCCCCAGCGGCACCTCCACGACCTTTGGGTCGCCAGGACGCCCATTTCGGGTTTGGGCATGAGGCACGTACGACATGCATTCGCACTTTCGCCTTTGCTCGTGAGAGTGGTACAAAGCCTTGCTTTCGAACAGAATCGCGTTGGTTGTGGCCTGGAGCGCCAGCTCATTCATTCTAGCCTCTCTTTCTGATGAGTCCTCCCATAAATCGGAGCTCGTGCTCCTAGCATGCTCAATGTCGGAGTTCAGCCGGAAGCAATCTTTCAGAAGCCTGCGGCCCAAGGCCTTTCTAAACCCCCGACAACAAAGCTTTGTAGCAACCCTGCCAAACTTTCTAAAACCCGATACGTCCGTGTAAAGCTCTGTAAATTTAAATCCCTACAAAACTCCTTGACGGTGGGGTTATGAGAAGGATGACCCCAAGTAGGGTACCCAAAACTCTACTTTCCAAGTCCCCTTAGAAGGAACCTTTGTGAAGGAGCCTTTTAAAGGATGCCTTCTAAGGAACCCTTTCCCAGGTGGCACGTTGGGAAACTTTTTAAATTTCCTTACGGTTCCTATAGAGGTAGCTATTCGTAAATACTTTTAAGGGCCCCGAAACTACAACCCAGTTTGCCAGAATCGCCTCACATGCACAAGGAGCGGAGCTGAGGAGTTGCCCCAGCTCCACGTGCTTCGACTGATTCTGCAACTCCTGGAACCTCGGCTCAGTTAAAAAAAGGGGGGACGGGGGTCTTGATAGTGCTTTTGCAGGTTTCTTATCTGGTTTCATGGGCCTTGACACGGCTTGATAACCATGGTTCAAGGGACTTGTTCACCAATTTCCCACTGTACTCGAACCTGACTATAACCTGGGTGATCATTAGTACTGCCGTACAGTTAGCAATTTGTTATTAACTTTTTTATATGCCGAATAACATGAACTTTTTTGCTCCAAATGCTCAAGTTTAGGGTTGAAGAAGCCACAGGTCCAGAAGTCTCTCTACTACGGTGCGTTCCGAAGCATGTCACATGTCAGGCCGGTGAAGCCGAGACATAAACCTCGGGAGGTAGGTAGGCATTTCGCAGAGGTTTGGCAACCGTTTCTGCTTCTGGTCTGCAGTCTGGTTGTACGCTAAACACTACATCATAAACCCAGCAAGCGGTTTCACTGTCATTCTTTAATTCCAGTAGACCCAGCGTCTTTGAGTCTTAAATGAAGAACTGGACGGAATCACTGGCACACGGTGTGTCAGCCCCGACGGCCCAAGAGCCACTCGAGACTCAGGGTCTTGAGTGCTGAACCCAAAACTGAAACCCAAACAGGTCTGCTTTCAGCATACTATCTTGCTGGTCGACTGGCTGGGCGGCAGCGGCTATGCTGGGATCGAGAGCTTCCAGCCGACCACCAGCCAAGTGTCGAAGGTGGGCTTGGAGCTTTGGTGTTTACAATATGGGTAAGGGACCACAAACATGCCATGCCCACTTTCGAGCTGATTTGTTTACTAACGCAGGGATCGAATCTTACACTCTGGATGTTTGCCACGTGTCTTTCTGCACTTTGCGCGACATGTGTAGATTGAAATTCGCGGACCTTTCAGAGGAATTCTGTGCCACGTGAGTCCTCCAAGATTCGCTGGTGCAGGTGCTTGGGCGGGTGAACCACACGTTCGCCTGCCTCTCCGTCGCCGCCGACTCAGAAGTGAGGGTTTTTGGTTCCCGGTTTGTAGGTTGTGCGGATGAATCCTAAGCCCCTAAACCGGTATGAATCCCGATGGCGACCGACTCCTCAAAATGCAAGCTATACACCCTCGTCCGTTCTGGCAGGTTCGCGCTATTCTTGATGGTGTGATCTGCCAACTATGATCGGCGTGCATGAGCAGTCCAAGAGAATGTTTTCCGAAGCACACAGTCTCCGCGATCCTGTGTCTTCACCCCTCCCTACATATACCAGCCGGCAATCATTGAGGTAGAACGCTCTTGGCCTCATTTCATGCTCTGTTGACACTGCGATTGTGAATGCACTGCGCGAGCAAGAAGGTGTTGAGCATCCGGTCCATGGGGAGCACCTTGCGTGCAGTTCGCGCGGCTGGTGGAGGCTGGATGCATGATCCTGGGCAAAGACGTTCTGCCAGACTTGCCCTCACAATCGCAAACCTTGGGAGAAGCCGGTTCTAGTTTGGATATCCTTGTGCACCTGCTTCTTCCCCCAAATCGTCCGGAGGACATGTTGCCATATAATAATGCTACATATCAGAACAAATTCCTGCTACACCGCTTGACACAGCTCTAGTGACAATGTTCGCATACTGCGATAGCACGAGCCTGACTAAAGCAATGAGGACCTTTTACTGCAACATTGGTTTCTGGCAGTACCACGCATTGCAGAGCTCAAACTGTTGACCCCCAGCATTGTGTTTTGCTCCGTACATGGTCTCAGGCGCCCTCGCCCTACCCCGTCGCTGGTTCTCATTCAAGACAATTCCGCACGCCACTGTTGCTTGCTGCCAGGGCTTGCAAGGTCCGCCCTTGCTGCCACGACCTGGACAATGAGAAGATGGCTCAGGCGACTGCAGTAGGGTTGCTGCGCCGGCTTTTTCATTGATTCGCTGCATCGTGTGGAATGCATTGGGCACAACTCGGGGCACCGACATTGCCACTGACTTCTGTCACACTCATAGCTATGGTTATGGTACAGGATAAGGAGCTCAGGAATGACACTAGTTGCAAAGTTTCAAGAACCTTGAGAAACATGCCGGCACGGGCAGAGTATGTGTGGAAGCGGACCTGGTGCTGTTCGAATCCTCTGACATCGTAGTGGATTTGGCGAAGCGTTAATGTCGCGCTATCAAACGCTAGCAAGTTTGGACCACATCTCAAGAGGCTCCACTTAGGAGAACATGACCCATCTGCCCTGCTCAAAAAGCTCGAGACTTGAGCCCAATAATTGCGGAAACCTAGCAAGATGAGCGACTACCACGCTCCGAACCTTCAAACCCTAAAAGCTTTTCAGTTTCGAATTACGCAACATTCAATGCGCCTCCCGCGAAGGCAAGCGTGCCACCTTGCTTTTTGGATGCTCTTCGGCCGGTGGGTTTGGTTTAGGGTTGAGGGTTTAGGTTACTTGTCCTGTGGTGGTGAGAAAAGATCGCAGGCCACAGGAGGAAAGGGGCTTGTTGTGCTCTTGTTGTCATTCGATGGGAGTTTCCGAAAATGAGGGGTACCTGTTATTTGGGGTCCTTATAATCAGGATCCTACTATCTATAATATGGATCCTACTATATAATATGGATCCTACTCTAAAGTAAGGACCCTAGTATGTAGATGTAGGGTACAAGATCATGGTATGATCACGCCTACGGGTAGTCCGGCAGAGTGAAGAGCTGAGAGCCTCGAGGTCCGACGGACGTGTCAGGTTCGGGATTGAATGTAGGGGGGCCTTCATAATTAGAATAGGGATCTATGGGAGTTCCGTATGTTTAACGGTTAAAAATTGGGGTTCCTTGGGGTTCCGTATGTTTAACGGTTAAAAAATAGGGTTCCTTGGGGGTTCCGTATTATAATTATGGTGTAATATACCCCCGCTCCAATACCCTGTTCGAACTATTATGGCACCGACATCAGGGTCCTCACTGCAGGTTTCGGGAAAGCACTCCAGCTGGCTTTATTTGTCCTTGGGAAGCAGCACGCGACGATGCAAGATTCAGTTTGTACCTGCTTGCTCGCTGGTTGCCGGTGAAGTGCACATCAAACTGTGATGAATCACTAAATGCAAGTGCTTCCCAAACTGCCTGCGAAGGCCAAACATATGATGAAGTCTTTTCACTATCATGTAAATTGTAGTTGTATTGATATGCGTGAGTGTGTGGGGAAAGATGCAGAAGTGAACTTGCTTGTATTGTCAAGCGCTCCCATTGTTCGGCAGTATGAGACCAGGCTAACCAGGTGAGAGGTTACTTCACTCAACATCACGTAACCGATTAGGCTACTTGGCGAATTCGACTACCAACGAATCGCACCCTTTCAGTTCAAACATGACCCGAGAGCCGTTCCACTGTGTGTAAGTCAACCCAGTAGTAACTTGACTCAGTAAGCAACATAAGTAAGACAGTATACGATGAAGACAAATGGCAAACCCTGCGAGAAATAGTCCCTGAGTCAGAAGGTGAGTAATGTTGCAATCAAGCAGCGGATCTATAAAAGCGTGCTTGCTTGTTATGTGAGCCCTTGCTGCGCGCCCGTTGATGATTGTTGCCAACCCAGTTTTGTTTCCCATCCTGACGCATGCTGTGCTAGCAATGATCTGCACGACTTGAACCCAGGTTCTTCTATGTTCACCTCGCGAGAGAGATTCCCTGGAAGCCTTTCCCGAACTTTACTTTGATTTGGTACCAGGACGCAGAGTTTTGGGCCGGGGTTAAGCAAGTTTTTCTGCACACGAGATTTCCTTGGTAAGCTGAGCGGCCTCGTCACACTCTTCCACTGGTCCCGCAGTGCTTCTACCCTGCAATTTTCGGTTTGGGCGTGTGCGTCGAGCTATGCGAGAATGGTGCGAAGTGACACTGCACTGAAGCTTGTGTTGCAGGACCGGTTAGATGTGTGTCGAGACTCTGAGCCATTGCCGAGCGCGCGGCTACCCAAAGAGGCTGCAGCTAGGGGAAGAAATCCCACCCAAGTAGGAGCTGCCCTCAACCCCAGATTTTGAAAAGTTTATTGGGGTGTTGGCTCGGGGGCAACGGTACGCAACGGTCCTCGCAGAAAGATGCAGTCTAGTTATGTCTTGTTTATCCGTTTAGAGTCTTAGAGTCTGGAGTCTAGAGGTTTGAAACTTTTGGTATGCTTCGGTTGTGGCGAGGGGGATTCGGGAAGCGTCGAAGCGGGGGGGAGGGTGAGTCGGGCCATTGCTGTTTGCAGCTCCACCCGCCCAGATTTCGCCAAATCCTTGACCTGCGTACAACAGACGGGCAAGTCCTAGACCTCTAAGCCTGGCTTCGAAACAGCAGCGTGAAGCTGAAGAGTGGCAGGTAGCTGCATATCTGCCCATGTGGCTGCTGAGCCTGCTCTTTGTGTACGAGTGCGGGGCCAAGCAGAGATTGCCTTGTGGGTTTTGGGTGTCGGGTGTCAGCTGCAATCAATGCACGGGCTCCGTTCCGGGCAATATTGGGGCCAGACTAGCTAGGAATATGATTCCCTTCATGTAGTCCCTGCGTAATTGAAGTACACTATACCCCAAAGCCCCCCAAAAAGCAACGGACCCCATGTCAAGGAGGGAAAGCATACATGGTTGCAGGAAGCTCCAGCTCTTGCTGAGGCCTGTGAACCAGTTGCTGAATCTTTACCGTCCGGCGGTGACAGCTTGCCACAACATGCAGGCAATCTCAAGCTTGTTCACAGAGTGATGAGATGGTCGAATTTCACCTGCCTCGTCTTCGGAAGCTCTGTGAAGATACTAGTACTGTGTGCTGCAGCCTCAAATCATTTCGGGTCCACCAGGATTCGACATTTAAGTGGAGAAACCTCTGGTGCACAACTGCCATCAGCCCCGTCCTCTGCGCAGATCTTTGAGTCTCTCTTCGCGGTCAGCGTAGTCGGCGCAGGCCCGCAAGTCCGGTGACTGGGGGGCTCGGACTCCAGCTCGGGCGCTTTTTGGGGCCGAAGTCTCTGTATCTGTCTCCTTTTTTGTTCGATAGTACCCGTGACGGATCAACTAATCTTGTTTAAAGTGTGTTCTAGGTTTGCACGCCGGCATAGACGAGCAGTCGTTGATCATGATGATTTCTTGCAGGAGCCTTGAACGTGTTGCATTGAATGTGTGGAATTGGTTCGCTCTTCGGGTGGTTTAGGTTTCCTAACTCACTTGCACAAGCAAAGCCACAAGTGTGCTTTTTGGGTCCTTCTTATAATACGGCACCTCATATTTAGGGTACCCAAAAAGGGACCATACTTTTGACAACTACCCATAAGATGATGGCACTAGTATTTGAGATCACGTGCCTGCCTTCACGCAGGCATCGGCTTCATAAGGCACTTCAGTGGCCTGCGCCTCAGCTCCTGCGGGTGCGCCTTGAGATTCATTCGACGGAGGATATGGGAGTTTCCGAACATAGGGGACCCTAAATAATATTTATTGGATCCTTATTATCAGGACCCCGAAATAAGGTGCCCCTAATTGCGGAAACTCCCATATGCTATGCCACTCTGCATCTCGGGGCCTTCTGCGAGTCTAATCTTCGTCCAACACTGAACTGAACATCGAAGTCGAAGCTCATAAAACATAGCAAGAAGCCCTTGTTAAAACTCACCTGCCAAGTTCCAATGCAGCAGCTTTAACAAGCAACACACTATTTATTTCCTAAGGGCTCCGCATTGTCATGTAATTATAGTATATGCGAACACCCTATTCCAATTATCAAGGCCCCTACATGATTAGTCTTCCAATAGCGCGTGTCTGAGGCAACGCCGGTGCCGTTTGCATTGGCATGTTGGTCACGGCCTTCTGCTTGTGGTTGGAGCCAGAGCTTCTTTGTGAGGCCTGGGTTGGTGTTTTTTCTTCCCGGTTTGGGGGCTTAGGAACTGTATTGGGGATGATTCGCATATCTACAGTAATGAAAGCTATGTAGGCCCTTTCTATCATTTTGGACACATCTCCCCCTTCGATTCTCTCTGTCTCTATCTCTCTCGCTCTCTGTCTCTCTCCTGCAGGTCGCTGGGAGTGTCCTGAGCACGTTGCTCCTTAGGAATCTGCATCCTTAGTATCTCTCATGTCAAGAAGCTGCCTCGAGTCATAAACAGGCTACTCAGGACCGGAGCCTTCAGCAGGAGTATTGGTGCCTCTGCCATTTGACCAGTTTGTGAGCTGAGAATATTGAAAAAGCTCGCTGAATAGCATCGTTGAAGGCGGGGGAGCCCGAAACGTGAATGCACCGGGCAGAATGCAGCTGCAAGCGAGAGCGGTGCCGTAACCTGGGATGCATTGCACGGCCTGGGGAAACTAGCAGCTGCGAGCGAGAACCAGCAGTTTCCCCCTGCGCCATCTGTCGACCGCACCTGAAGTGCTCGAAGAACGTCTACAGGCAAGGCTTCAGCCCAGCAATTTCGTGCAATGGCAGAGGAGATGCAGCCTGATGTTGAAGCTTATCCTACACATCCTGCGAATGCACGCTGACTTTATCCACAGAGGTCTCGTGCCGTGAGCGGACAGGTTAAGTCGTGAGAAAATTCATGGTATTCTCACATGTTGCTGTCGCTGACTCGCCTCTGTATGAAGATTTCCAGGATGAGTTCCTATCCGCAGTCTTTCGACGGAATTTGGTGTGCTGCCGTCATCTCTATGGGGATGACTGCGAATTCATTTACCCACCTGACCCACGAGAGAAGAGCGCAGGGATTTCGGAATGGGCGTCGCTTCGTGGGCTGCACGCCCTGCGAGATGCTGCTTGGACGCCCACAGGAGGTTTAGGAAAAGGTGGCTTGCTTGCGGCTTCTACTGTCCGCATTCTGAGACATAATTGATGGAATTGAAAGAACGTATCGGCGATTGGGCTTCCACCCGGATGTCCAACAAACAGACGCCCAAGGCTTCCGGGTGCCTTCCTGTGTGCGTGGCTGTTGGAGGCGCAGGAGTTGAGGGTCGGGCAAGTTCTAGGGGGGCCGAACACTGAGAGTTGGAGAACACAGGGCACGATAAGCACGCATCGTTGTCTTTTGTGCGATTTGGTGTCAACGGAATTCTCGAGATTCATAACTAATAACTACTTACCTAATACTACACTAAAACTATACTAATTCTAATGCTACGCAGCCGCCTCGGCCGCCGGCTGCAGTAGGGCCAGCAGGGGCGCAGAGCAGGGGCCAAACTGCGAAGGGCCTCTCAAGGCAGGTGTAATTTAGTTGCAGGGTCAGGGCTACTTGGAGAAGTGTGGCAAGTGTAGAGCAAAGCACGCGAACGAAACATAAGAAGAAAAGGCAGTGGAGCCGGCCCGGGGGGGGCAGGCCGAAAAAGCCAAAGCACACGAACGAAACATAAGAAGAAAAGGCAGTGGAGCCGGCCCGGGGGGCGGCAGGCCGGAAGAGAAGAAAAGAGGAAAGAAAACGAGCAGGATAAAACAAAAAACGAGGGGAAGCCGGAGGAGGAAGGGGGGGCCGGAGGAGGAAGGGGGGGCCAGCAAGGAGGGGGGAGGAAGGGGGGAGGGGGGGGGGCAGGACAAGACGGGGGAGGGAGGAGGGGCTGAGCGGGGGCGGGGGCGAGGGGCAACAAAACAGCAAAACGACGGAGCTTCAAGGAGGAAGCAGGAGAGCCAAAGCACGCAAACGAAACATAAGAAGAAAAGGCATAGAGCCGGCTCGGTGGGGGGCAGGCCGAAAGAGGAGAAAAGGTCGAAAAAACACGCGAGGGCAGGACAACACGGAAGGGTGGGCTGGCCGGCCGGAGGAGGAAGGGGGGGCCAGCAAGAGGGGGAGGGGGGGAAGGAAGGAAAACAAGCCAAAAGAAGTGCAGACAAGACGGATGGGAAAAGGGGCCGGGGGGGCGGGGAGGGAGGAGGGCTGGGTGGGGGGGGGGGCGAGGGGCAACAAAACAGCAAAACGAGAGCTTCAACGAGGAAGCAGGAAAGAAGCACGCAAACGAAACATAAGAAGAAAAGACAGTGGAGCCGGGGGCAGGCCGAAAGAGAAGAAAAGATGAAAGAAAATGAGCAGGCAATCGAAAGGGAACCAAAAAAGGAAGGAGGGCAGAGGGGAGGACGGGCCCGGAGGGGGAGAAGAGAGAGGGAGGGGGGGGGAGGGGGGGGAGGGGGGCAGCGGGGGGGGGCAGGGAAGGGAAGGCAGGAAGGAGGGCCCGGGAGGGTGCAGGAGGGGGGGAGGCAAATTCGGCAGCAAAAAAGGACGGAAGCCGGGCAAGGGGGTCGAAAACAGTCGCTAAAAACGGGTGGAAGTTTGCATTTGGGCTGGAGGGAGAAGGATTAGGTAGAGGGTTGGTTAGTATTAACCATCAAGACGCCAGAGGCCTTTGGCCTCGGCGGATAATGTTGTGTTAGCAAGCCCCAATACTGATGTTGCCTTGACATCGCACCTCACCTCGTCGGTGCTGGATGCACGGTCTTTGAGCGAGCTTACTAGGGGGTTACGGGCCACCGATTCAAGAGCAACAAAACAGTCTTCGCTTCGTATAAGACACTGAACTACGTCCGAACTCGGATACCAACACTTATCAATCCCGGTTTCGAGCTCAAAGCCCGAAACCCCCAACCACTGATGCCCGGAAGCCCCAGATCACTTCACGGAACGCTTCGTGCCAACCAGGCGCGCTGCCTCCCGGCCCGCGGCCTGCAGTGGGGTCTGGCCGTGATTGGAGCCGCGTTGCTGGTGCTCTTGGTCGCAAATGTTTTTGAAGTCAGCAGGTTACGGTTGAGGCGGGGGGGGCTCGAGATTTGGGGCTGAAGAATGATGGCATGATTAAGTAGAGCAGCTATTGGAATGGATGATCGTAGTATACACGCTTATCATATCCAAACTGCGATAGTTCGTGCTCCAGTAACCTGTGGACCATCCAGTGCATTCACACTACGGCCTTGCCGGTTTTCTTGGGCCCCCCAAGATCACGGCTTGTCGTCATCATAGTCGGCATCACCAGCGTCACTGCCACCATCATCGTCATCGTGTTCACCATCATCGTCATCATCATCGCCAGCTTGGACACCACCACTGCCGCAGCCATCGCCATGTTCATCTTGTCGTCATCTTTCTTACGTTCATCAGCCTTGCATTTTTCGTCATCTGGGCCATGTCCGTCGATTCTGCAAGCATGATTTTCAAGGAAACTGTTTGCTCAAGCCATCATATTCATCGCCTTGCGTCAGTTTCATCCTGGATACCTCAATTTTATTATGTCCGTTGTTATCAGTACCGGTCGGATGTGGGTACTAGTTGATGTGGTTGTGATGCTCCTCGTCTTCTCCATGCCCGCCATCTTATCCGTCCGGGCTCCTCATCAGTTTCATCACTTTCCTCCGCGCCAGGTTTCAATAGTTCCCGGGGTTCTTTTTAGTTCCTTTTGTTGTAAAAGCAGCAGCAGTTGTGCTGTTTATAGTCGCTTCTGACCCCCAAGCTATAGATCCGGGCCGCAAAGCCTTTTGAACGAAGGTGGACTGGCTGAAGATGCTCGGCTTGACCGACGGCCTTGGTTTCGCTTCGTTGCTGTTGCAGTTAAGGGGCAGGAGAAGCCAGGGGTGTCAACCCACAAAAAGGAGATTTAGCGAATTTCAGTCTGGGAGGAGCTGCACAGTAGAAAGAGGCTGCCTTTGCCGGCTCAGAATACCTTGAGCTGAGCCCTACACCCCCAAACGTCCGCGGTTCGTCGCTCTTCTTGAAGCGCTAGACTCCCATGCCCTGAATCCAAAGGCAGCCAGAGGTGCGACAACTCCCCTTCGCACCATTGGAACCCTGACTCTATCCTGACCCTATGATCCCCGGGTCTCATCCTGCCGAGCAAGGTTACCCAGGACCGAGGCGAGCCGAACGACAAGTTGTGGAGTTAGGGCTTCGGGGTGATTCAGGCTTTGAACTTCGTTGGGCATGTTGGCCCAAGTCCTAGGTCCTGCAGGATGGGATGGTCTTCGGCTCTGCACCCCTGCACCCTTTGAGGGACATCTGGATGTTGTCGTCCTGCATACTGGTAGCGGTGTCGGAAGTCCACGCATTGCGGCCGCAAGCTTTGCAAGATATTCGCAGTCGTCAACATCATCATTAGGATGTTCCAGGACCCTGTGATCGAGCAGCGCTTCTCAGAGTCTGGCGACGGATAATGTTAAAAAGCATCAACATCAGCATAGCCCTTTTCCCGGAATGTCCCGGCCCGGGCCCATGATATCCTAACATAGAAAAAGCTTGGGTCTCTGTTTGTGCCCCAAATTGTCTGTCGTGCAAATGTTGAGCCCTTCTTGTCTTCTAAACCTGAACCCTAAACGAGTACCTCCATGATTAGAACAGGGCTTTGGGGATACATCATACTATGGTTCGACTAGGGACTAAAAAACGGCGTACTTTTGGCATCTCTTCTGCCGCGTAAAAACTCCCCCCGAAACTCATCCAAGATCATAGGAGGCCAAAGGGGTTTTAGCCTATGGGGGTTTAGTAGGGATTAGGGTTCCCATAATAGGGTTCATATTAAGGAATCCCTACCCCAAGAATCTTAAACCCCCCTTTTGGCCTCCCATCCCAAAAAAACCCTAAACCCTAAACCCTAAACTACTAAACCCTAAACCCTAAACCCTAAACTACTAAACCCTAAACCCTAAAAACCTAAACCCTAAAACCCTAAAACCCCTCTTCCAAGAGTGCATCTGCCACAGGTTCTCCAGGATGCTCAGCCCACGGAAGGCTCCGGGGGCGTCGCATGGGAGTTTCCGAAAATTAGGGGTACCTTTAAGGGGATCCATAAGGGCTCCTTAAAGGGATCTATAAGGGTTCTATAAAGGGTTTAGGGTTTGGGAGTTTCCGAAAATTAGGGATACCTTACTTTGGGTTCCTTATAATAAGGATCCTACTATCTAGGGTACTATATTCGGGTCCCCTATTTTCGGAAACTCCCAGACGTACGTTGAGGGTAGTTCAGGGTTTAGGGTTGGTCCTTCGGGCTTCAGGTTGCAGCGTCCTCTGCTTGTGAGCTCCTTTGCAGAGAGGGGCCCTAAACCCTAAACCCCTAAACCCCGAAACCCTAAACCCAAAACCCTAAACCCTAAAAAACCCTAAACCCCGAAACCCTAAACCCTAAACCCCTAAACCCTAAACCCCTAAACCCTAAATCCTAAACCCAAAACCCTAAACCCTAAACCCCGAAACCCTAAACCCTAAACCCCTAAACCCTAAACCCTAAACCCAAAACCCTAAATCCTAAACCCTAAACCCTAAACCCCGAAACCCTAAACCCTAAACCCCTAAACCCTTAAACCCAAACCCTAAACCCTAAACCCTAAACCCTAAACCCCTAAACCCTAAACCTAACCCCCCTAAACCCTAAACCCAAAACCCTAATCCTAAACCCTAACCCTAAACCCGAAACCCTAAACCCTAAAACCCTAAAACCCTAAACCCTAACCCTACCCCGAAACCCTAACCCTAAAAACCCTAAAACCTAAACCCAAACCCTAAAACTAAACCCTAAACCCTAAACCCCGAAACCCTAAACCCTAAACTGCCTGTACCCCTGGGCCTTGAAGCTTCAAGATGAGGGGTTTCGTAGTTCAGGCTCAAGGGTATGGGCCATGATAGAAAGTAGATCCCGTAATTTGGGGCCCTATACCACTTAGGGTACTTTATAGGAACCCCCATTAAGGGATCTACTTGTTGGTTCTGGAGTTGTATATTTCAAGGTCTAAGCTAGAGATTTAGGGTGTTTCGGAGCTGGAGATTGAGGGGGCAAGGCTTCCCGAAGTCAGCAGCCGACTCATTAGTGTGTCGCGGCGCTCAATGTGGCCTTAGCGACTTTTCCCGGCACCAGCCCAGAAAGATTAAGGATCTTCAAGCCAATTTTAAGCCCGACACACCCAAATCGAACAAAGACCGCCTTGCCTTCTGGCTGTGGCGCTGACCTGCCTGAACGCCCGTGCAGCTTCATCGCTGCAGTTGCTAACATGGTCTACTCGCCGCAGAAGATCGTCGGATTCTTCCTCGGAAGTGGCCTTCATGCGCTCGGCATGGCATCTTGGCACCTAAACTGTATCGGTTTAGGGTTAAGGTACTGTATACCCAGGCTCAGATCCACTTAGCTGCAGAATCAGAAGTTCGGTAGCTGCAGCGACCCCATCGAACTCCAAATTGCAAAATTCTGACCATCGTTTGAATGTGGTAGGAGAGCCCGAGATAATCCCGGGCCATACACAAAGCTGGTGTCACCGCTCCTGATTGTGGCATTTATGGCAAAGCTGACCAGTCACCCGACGCATATAAATGCAGAAGCAAGAGATTGGATTAAACCTGAAAGCAGATGGAGCTCTGTTTCAGAGGCCCAGCGACTTCTCACTATCGGGGCCTTCATAATTGGAATAGGGTCTGGGGATATACATTATACTACAACTTATAATAAGGTACCCCCCCCCAAAAAAAAATAGCAGAATGCCTAAGACCTTGTTTTGAGGACCAGGGCCTAACCGCTTTGGGTCCCTGAGTCGCCAAGCATGGTGAGTTTTGGCTTTTGAGAGCTTTCCGCTGACCGGAGCCTCCGTGTTTTTGAAATAAGATCTGGCAATAGAACAACAACATCATGATCATCATTCTTATGTTTAGTCGCTCGCTGAGTAGTAGCTATTGTCATGATTGCTATGAGTCGAGTGTTAGTATTAACTCTTGTCATTTTTGCTATTGGTTATAAGTATTACGAGTACTGAGAACCGCAAGATGAGGGAGGCTCATGGCCGGCAACTGGAAGGCAAACGCAACAACAAGATTTCTCCATGTCGTATTGAAGAAAACCTTGATGTTCATGAAGAGGGGGACGATAGTGAGATAGATCCTGAAATCTCACTTCCTAAATCGTAGTCATCAGCTTGTTTGTCAGTGTAATCGCCATGGTGCTGGCAGTAACTAGAACCGCTGCAAAGCTCAAGCGGCTTCGCCATCAAGACTTACGAGTCTAGAGTTCCAGATCTAGCTTTTGGCTTGCTCGTTTGCCCAGGCGCTGTTGCTGACGGAGTGGGAGCACTCCAAGAAGAAGGCAGTCGCACCAAGCGGGCAGCGCCGGCCGGGATTAATTTGAGCGATTCCGCCATGAGAACGGATTGCCTGCAGTATGTCGGCAACTACGTAGTGATAACATGTGATATCTATTGTCCCGTCGGAGACACCATCTCATTGACAGTGATGGCCCAACTGTTGACCTGGCAGTATGCACCGTCAGCGTTCGTTTTTCTGTCCAAACCCCGGAGAAGGAATTGTTAGACGCAGTGAACATCGTTTAACCCGAAGATTTCAAATCGCAGCACCCTAATGGCTGAATGCGAGTTTTCTCAGCAAAACCCGACCTCTGCCTTGAACAACGTTCGTGCGAAATCGCCAGGTGGGTGCTCGCCATGTCACGGCTGTCTCTAGGCGAAAGCCTCGGAATGCTGCGAGAAAGATGGCAATGATGATGACGACAACAGTGATCATAGCAGCTGATATGGTGATGATGATAGGGCTGATAGAGACGATGATGTCGAGGCTCCTGGCGTGCTGATGGGGTGTGTTCACGAGAACTTAGGAATGTCGGTTACGATGACGGAGATAACGTAAGAATTCTCAGCAGCGATGGTGGCGATGAGCATTCGCCGTTACCGCCATTACTGCCTATCATCATCGAGACTTTGCTGCGCTGCTCGTAACGGCTCCTTTTGAACTCTCGTCCGAGTTGCCATCTTGTTATCGTTCCGCCGAACATGTGGCGGGTCGACGACGACTTCTTACATTTGCGAACTCATGCTACTGATGAGAGCATAAGCTCTTCCCTTACTCACGTTGCAGCTTGTGCTAGCAATGCTCCTAGCACTTGTTCTCCTTTCTGGCTACTGCCTCTCCGGTCGTTTTCGTCGCATAGTCCCCGCAACCCTTGACATAGGCACGGAAGCATCACTTCAAGCAACCTTATTTGGTCGCTAGTTCCCAACTGCAGGTGTCCACATGCTGCAGCCGCACGTTCTTGTTTAATTGTTCCAGGTACTAGCAACACTAGTCTTCATGACAGCTGTCGAAGTTGTTGTCACTGCCACTAGCACCTTACAAACCAAGCACTCAACCTTCGACGTTCACCTGTCATGTCCGATAGTTGATGATCCTTCGCCCCACACTACTCTGATAACTTTCCTTACGGGTTTAGTAGACTTGGTTCCGCACAGAAGACCGCAGCTAGGCGTTAACCTGACGAACATTTTCGCTCTTCACTACTTGCGCGGCCCCGGCAGCAGGGTGTTTGCCCAGTTAGGCTGTTTGGTGTCGGTGGCAGGAGTTTTGACGGGTGGCTATGTGCAGATTGTAGATGTCGGCACTCGGAGAGCTTTCCCTAGTCGTGCCACTGCCCCAACGACAAACCTAGTCGTACCACTGCCCTAAACCGCAAACCTGAGGTTATACCATGAATACTAGTGTCGCATTTTGCACTCATCTTTCAAATTCAAAGTCATTCCCTTTTTCCAGGTCTTTTTACACGTGGTTCGGACCCTTCCCGGATAGTGGAACGGATTCTGAGAGAAGGCGGTTTTGACTGCATACTGACTGTCTTGCTCACTGGCACAGCCGTCATCCTGCAGGGGCACGGCAACACCACCAGCACCACCACCACCACGACTAGTACTAGTAGCAGTAGTAGCAGCTAGTGTTGCCCTGCCTGCGGTCTTCAAGTCCCAATTGTATTCATCTGGGGGTTTCCGAAAATAGGGCGTACCTTATTGGGGGGTCCCTATAATAAGGATCCTACTATTTAGGGCACGATATTAGGGTCCCCTATTTTCGAAAACTCCCATCTGAGGTGGGCGACTTCTTCTCATGCCGATAGAGTTCCATCACATTCACGCTACCTGGCCTTTCTTGAGGCGTGGAGTCCGGGAGAAGTCGGTCTGTTAGCTAAACTGGCAGAGTGGTGCAAGGCTTTCCTGCCTCACAAAGCAAAAACTCGGCATTAAACCTTAAGCCTTCTGCATGAGGCTGCCTGTGCCCAGAACTGTTCGTAGACATTCCTGTTGTTCCAACATGCAACTAGCAATCGATGTTCTTCTTTCGTACTTTTGGTTGAGCAGTAGCAGTAGCACGAGCAGCAGTAGCAGCAGTGGTAGTAGTAGTCGTCGTCGTCGTAGTGGTAGTGGTCGTGCCAGGGATCACGGTGGTGAGGGGGATTGCCGTCGCAGTGGCAGTGGCAATGGACAATAGAAGAGGGTATCGAGTATGACAGAATCTAGTGCCAGCATTGTTGGTACTGGCATTGGCACAACGACCATCGACAGGCCGGCTGCCTGTCTTTGCTAGGTTCTCCATCTCAGTCAGTCTTGTTTGCGTTCGGCTACCTTTGCATCCTGAGTACTTCCCTCATCGTGTCTTCGAAGCTTCAATCATTCGATGTGGGTTTAGGGTTTAGGCTGAGAGCTCTTCATTACGGCCTTCGACTGATGTGGCCAGCAGGCCTGCGACGGAAACCTCAGGGCCCACAGTCCATTAATTGATCCCGCTTCCGAAATCTCATAGGCTTTTGCATGGTTGTAGCACGGCTCCTTCTAGACCTGCTCAGACAGTCGCCCAATCTTCCAGAACCCAAAAGCCCTCCCTCAACCGTAAACCCGAAACCTAAGCCCGAAGGTTATGGGCTACCTGCTCTGGGCATGGTTGACTGCCGGGGCTGTTTCCGCCATTGTGCACTGCTGCGTCATGCCGTGGCTGAGACTCACAGGGTCTTCTTTCAACATTCTTTAAAGAGGATTTGGATTTGAAGAGGTTCATGGGTGTCTAAATATGAGGGGTTCTTGTTTAGGTTTAGGGTGGGTTTTTGGTTGCGTGGCATCCCAAACCCAACCACCCACCCATCCATCCATCCATCCATCCACTCACCCACCGTAGGGCGGCCACAGTGAGGGTTCAAGATTGGTGCCCAGGTACGCGTCCCCTATTCTAAATATTCTATTGTGCTATAGAATACGTCCCAAAACGCTTATTACACAAAGCTGCCGAGGTTGCCTAGGGGTTCTATATGGTTGTGCCCAAGCCTGTGCCACATGTTGCTTGACCGAGCTAGTTGCACGCGACCATTCCGGGAGGGAGGGGCCAGGAACCACTGGGCTTGGGGCTCACGGAGTCTTCCGAAAGCTTGCTATTCACACGGTCCTCCAGTTGGGTGTCGCGATTCTGGTTGAACTTTGTACAAGCTTGGCGGCAATCACTCGAAGCCAAGGAGCCAGAAGCCTGGCCGGAACTCACAGCAAATGTAACCTCGTGCCTGACTCCCCAAGCCCGTCTACCGTCGCGAAGGTATGCGCTCATTGGAGATGCCGCTTTGTGCCGATTTGCCGACCCTGGGGGGAAAGCGAAGAAGTCTTGAAGTGGAAAAAGACGGCTGTTGGTTTTGAATGCTCTTGTCCTGGGAGCTTTGTCGTTGCTGCCGCTGTCGCCATGCTCATCGAGAGCATGGCTGTGATATGCTGTGATTCGGAGCATAATCGAGATAATTCAAGCAGTATCCTTGCGGTGTGCAGGCTTGTGGTGCGTGAATTGTGCAGTCTTCGTCTCATGTGCAGTCTTCGTCACATGGCCACTGCTTTAGCCTTCTGACTTGAGGAGTTACAGCTGGCATTCTTAGATTTCTTTGCTTTGCCGCACATTTCTGGGTGCTCAAAGCTTTAGCTGCAGGCTTTGGTGTAACTTGCATTTAACACACTTTTGCGACACGACGTTGCTTTCTCATCTCGTCGCTGGAGGTTTCGCGAATGCCCCGAAAACCTTTCGCCCTCAAGCCCTAATCGCGAGCTCCTCAACCCCTTGACCCCTCAACCCCGCAAACACCGGTACTGCTAAAAACCCTGAATCCCTGCAAATCGTGGCACCCTAAACACATCTAAAACCTCTCCTACAATCCGAAACCTCTATGTATTGAATCTGGCCAGGTCCGCTCATTTCGCGGATCCGCCAAGGAAGCGTGCCTTCTCATCGAGAGCCGGGGACAGGCAGAGGGGGCCGGCCGATTTCGGGTTCAGGGTTGCCGAGACAGGCTGAAAATACACGGACTGCGACAACATCGTTGTAATGATGGCCAGTCATATAGGTTGCTGAGTAGCGCAATACAACTGCTACCATTGAACCTGAAACCGCTGAGAGTTTTCGGGGCACTCTGAGGCCAACGGGCGAATTAAATGCCATCCTACGATTTCATGTCCAGAAGAACTCCGGATACCTGGGCGCACGTGGGCACACATCAAGCCGCGAGATGCTTCAGAAATCTCAATCTTGTGCCACATGCAATGGCATATTGCCTTTGAGCAGCATCTATACTACTGCATTTATAGCTTTCATGTGCTGTGGAATGGAATGTCATGTCATGCCATGTCACGCCATGTTATGTCTTGCCATGTATTGCAAGATAATGGACCGGAAGGCAGTGGAATGAATGTAACGCAATGTTGTATAGTTTCATGTCGTTTCATGCACAGTAGCCCATTCTACGAAAGACTGCGTCGATTTACTCTTTTCTCCGGCTTCTGCCTCGCTGGCTCTCTACGGGGGGCTTTTGGAGCTTGGGTGAGCATCTTTCTGAACTGCCCACGGATTGTACCCGCCGAGACCCTCAACTAACCTCCAGAAGTTAAATGTATAACGCCCTGCGCAATAGGGGCTGCACGAGTCATGCGAGGATTCGGAAGCCTCACACGGTAAGTGTTGGCTTGATTCTTTGGCTGTAAACCGCCTACATTCCGATCTGGCTCTTCCTTCGAATTCCAAGTCTAGAGATTTGGCATTTGGTGTGGTGGGCTTGCACTGTGCATCGTAGGCTCGGGCAACGAACGA